AATAACTGTTTAGCTTGAAAACTGGTCTGTTTGTCCCATAGAGAGTGCTGAAGTGCATTATTGACAGATGATGACATATCTCACATTAGAGAATGAGCAAGTGAAAATATATCTAATATTGTGGGTGATGTAATTAGATCATTTAACAGTTCCCAAGTAGATGGGTGGTCAGAGTTGGCATCTCAGTTTGTAGTAAGATCTTAGTATTACAAGTGAAGAATGCTAGACAGATTATTGGAGGGAGTGGAGAGTTATAAACCCAAAACTTCCCTCGAGAGGACACACCTTGATGAATAAGTCTTTGAAGGCTTCAACCACAGCATTCCTAGTTGGCCCACCCACAGTCTGCCTATAACCATTATAACTTCCTAAAATAGCATTGTAAGACATTACTACTTTTGCAGCTTCTTGCCAGCACCCTCAACCATTAGCTATCAATTCAAAACCACTAAAGCAGAACCAGCAGAGCCACCAGTCTCAAGCTACAGAATAGATGTGAGGGCTGATGTACAACTGTAACATCTCTCCATCCACACTTTAAGCCCGATTCTTGCACATACATGTTCCATAACCAAACATTTGCAGCCACCTTCCTGCTCCAAGTTCATCTGCTTTTCTTAAATTGCACAAAGACATGCAATTTATTAATTATGTTTAAATTTTGCTTTTATTCATTTAGCAGGAGATCAGCTACTGGTTGGAACACAATTAATATACTATGTAATTAGACTTAAATCAAGGGAAAGTTTCATGAGAATCACCACTCCTCTAAATGTTCCCCCAAGCAACAGCAAGAATATCTCTGGATGGCGCCCCACAAGGGTCTGCCTCCACAGGCAAACCAAAAATGGGCAACCTGGAAGTCCCTGAATAGACTCAGAAGTGGAGTGGTCAGAAGAGAACCTGGCAAAATGGCACTACCTAAAAGAATCATCCACCTTGTGCAACTGTGGAGCAGAACAAACAACTCAGCATCTGTATGCTTGCCCACAATGCCCTTCCTCATGCACAGAGGAAGAACTGTTTAAAGCTACAATGTGGTCACTGTTGCCCATTTTTGGTATAAAATTATTTAGCCACTTGTGCTCCTTCTATTTTATCAGTTTTTTAAATGTATTTATTTATGAAATGTTTTTGACACAAAATAAATAAATTACACTATGTAACACCATTTTTGTTCCTGAGTTATAAATGTCATTTCTTAATTGGTTCTATCATAGAACTGCAACACCTTTGTTTTTACAAGGTTCAAAATGGCATAAAATGACTTTAAAAATCTTTTATTTTCACCTTTTAAACTCTAAAATTTAAAATCTGTTAAATGTGAAATTGTCATAATGTGAATTCATTGGTATGTGCCTAATTGTCTGAATGTTCTTGCTGCTTGTATTGGGTTTACCTTTTGACTTATATTATTTTGTATTGTTATACAGCATTATCTTTGCCTTTTTATTCCCCTCTGGGGATATGGGGTGGGATAGAAATAAAGTTTTTATTCAGCCATTCATAGAATGATAGAATCATATTTTTATTAAGGAAAATTACAAATGAAGTGTCTAGACTGAAGAAAATAATAGTACTACCCTCAGCCACAAAAACAATGTTTCTGGAGTATAATAACTACTTTCAAAGTAAGTACTGCACAATTAAACAGGAAATAACACTTTCAAACCAGGAACAGATTTTTTTTTTCATATTGTGTTACATAGTGTTATTTTACTCTTTTCTCCAAAGTTTGCTTTGGGACAACTCTCCATGCTAAAGAGACATGCATCTTCTTTCCTATTCTTTCTAAACATTTTTCTTCCTTACAGCAAATAAAAACCAAAGATTCTTAAGGGAGCTAAACGTATAATAAAACAGGCAGGGAAATTTGTGATACCAATCAGACTCTAAAAAAGTGTTTAACTGAATATCACAACTCACCAGACAGGTGGGATAGTTATAGTCTACTATGTGAAGAACAATTCTTTATTTGAAGAGCCTTCGATTAAGGACAGGTTTAAAAGACAAGAAATCTTAAGAAGGTTTAGCAAGAGTTTGCATGTTATTCACCAGTAGCCAACTTCTGGACTGCAGACTGAGCAGCTCATGGGTCGCATGTTTATGGTGTCTATTGGCCGGACAATTCCAGGGGCATTGCCTCTCCCAGTCCATCCGCAGCTACATCCATTTGGTAACCTGTGTGCCCTGTTATGATTAGATGTATTGCATCTTCTATCTGAATTGTGAAGCCCCCAGTGGCGCAGTGGGTTAAACCGCTGAGCTCTTCACATTAGAAATTGGGACGAGCACTACCCCCCAGAGTCGGACACGACGAGACTTAATGTCAAGGAGAAACCTTTACCTTTACTTGGATCGTAGCAATTATTTCTAAGTTTCCATCTATGCCTATGTATTAGCATGTGCACTTTTTATACTAGTCTGCATCCTGTTTTGCCTTCTCTTTTGGCAATTGTAGGGGAAACTTATGGAAGACTACTATTATATCTAGGAGGCAAGTTAGATGGTGTGCAGTTGCCCCATTTTACTATACCCATTTCCCCCTTTCATTCTATGCCACCTAATTGTCACTACAGAAATGAAGTCTCCTTTAAGGGAAGGGTTGTTTTACTTAAGCCGACTTTAATTGTTAAGCATTAATTGGGGACAGTATGCTTTGGAATTTGGAAGGGTACTTTAGTCCAGCTGGCGGATGGAAAAGAGAGATGATTTATTAGGACATTGTTAAATTAGGCACGTAGCTTTTGGCATGAGCAAGTTATAAAAATCTTCACATCCCAGCCTAATGTTGAACCACGATGCAGGCTGAGCCCAGACAGAGTGCAAGCTGGCCAAAACTGGGATCATCCTTGTTGCTGTTCCAGGGGATCCCAGCAATAGATTGAGAACTTCCTTGGTTCATATTTCTTTCTTACGTTACTATCATTATGCCTGCTGCTTCAATAATCTTCTTTCTGGAATTATAAGCACTTGTGTGCTTATTGCCTTCCGACCTAAAAAATAACCTTTTGTCTTTTGGCAAGATAGCGTAGCAATGTGTAACTTTAGAGACCGAGTTTTAAGACTACTCTACAGAACTGAGGCTTTTAAGCAGAGGCTGGATGGCTATCAGTTGGGGGTGCTTTGATTGTGATTTTCCTGCTTCTTGGACTGGATGGGCTAGGCAAAACTACGGTGAGGTGGATCTGTAATTGGTTAAGTGGACGAACACAGAGAGTGCTCACTAATGCTTCCTCTTCATCTTGGAAAGAAGTGACAAGTGGAGTGCCGCAGGGTTCCGTCCTGGGCCCGGTCCTGTTCAACATCTTTATTAATGACTTAGATGAAGGGCTAAAAGGCATGATCATCAAGTTTGCAGACGACACCAAATTGGGAGGGATAGCCAATTGTCCAGAGGACAGGAGCAGAATTCAAAACGATCTTGACAGATTAGAGAGATGGGCCAAAACTAACAAAATGAAGTTCAACAGTGACAAATGCAAGATACTCCACTTTGGCAGGAAAAATGAAATGCAAAGATACAGAATGGGGGACAATGCCTGGCTCGAGAGCAGTACGTGTGAAAAAGATCTTGGAGTCCTCATGGACAACAAGTTAAACATGAGCCAACAATGTGATGTGGCGGCAAAAAAAGCCAATGGGATTTTGGCCTGCATCAATAGGAGCATAGTGTCTAGATCTAAGGAATCTACAGGGCTCTATTCTGCTTTGGTTAGACCACATCTGGAATATTGTGTCCAATTCTGGGCACCACAATTCAAGAGAGATATTGACAAGCTGGAATGTGTCCAGAGGAGGGCGACTAAAATGATCAAGGGTCTGGAGAACAAGCCCTATGAGGAGCAGCTTAGGGAACTGGGCATGTTTAGCCTGAAGAAGAGAAGGCTGAGAGGAGATATGATAGCCATGTATAAATATGTGAGAGGAAGCCACAGGGAGGAGGGAGCAAGCTTGTTTTCTGCTTCCTTGGAGACTAGGACGCGAACAATGGCTTCAAACTACAAGAGAGGAGATTCCATCTGAACATGAGGAAGAACTTCCTGACTGTGAGAGCCGTTCAGCAGTGGAACCCTCTGCCCCGGAGTGTGGTGGAGGCTCCTTCTTTGGAAGCTTTTAAACAGAGGCTGGATGGCCATCTGTCAGGGGTGGATTTGAATGCAATATTCCTGCTTCTTGGCAGGGGGTTGGACTGGATGGCCCATGAGGTCTCTTCCAACTCTTTGATTCTATGATTCTATGATTCTATGGATGGCCCACAAGGTCTCTTCCAATTCAATGATTCTACGACTGAATATGTGATAATGTGCTGTGCTTGGTACTTTTTTGTATGTGCATTCCTAACACAAAAATAACATTGTTGGGGATGGTAATCTATGTGGTTTAGGGCATTGTACAGGGCCCTAATAGCAGGAATGACTATTGAGGTAATAAATTGCCTCTGGCCATCTTTCCAGCAGCTATGATTCATAAAGGTGGGAGCAGAAAGAGAAAAGAGTATTTACAAAGCAAGCAGGGTCAGACTTGCCTTTTCTTATCCCACTATCAGCATTTTTAGGTAAAGGACTGGGCTAACTATTGACCTTTGAAATATGAATGTAGATTGGAAATCGATACATACCACTCACAAAGGAAAATGGGATGGTCAAAATATCCTCAGATTTATTAAATAAATTCAGGCCAAGTTGTTACCACAGACTATAAAGAAGGCACCTAGTACTGAGTAAATTGAAAATGAAAGTCAACCTCACCTCACATAACTTCAGTACCTCTTGAAAAACACTAGTAAAAACTTTATCAATGGTCCTTTTATTTAATAAGGAAACCTTAAGTAGACATTTAACAAATTCTTCCAGGAAAAGTAGTAGTATGTCACAAGTATTATTTGACAGTTGATTCTGTTCAGTGGTTTACATATTCTATCCTCTAGTTAGAAATTATACCACCTACATATTTGCATGCAGAAACAGGAGACAGCTAAAGCTAGTAATATTTTGAACTGGCATTGTTAGGTGACACATTACACTGTTAGTGTATTTGCTTCCAGAAGCATGCATGATTTGAGGAAGTCTATGACAGCAGACATTGCCCAAGAGGGGGTCTTATGAGAAGAAGTTTAGTCACTGAAGTAGTTGAAAGAGAACACAGCTGCAGAGATTGCAACAGCCACTGCTATCACCAGTCCTAAAAATGACAAAGGGAGCATAAATTCAAGATATGAACAAAAATGTGATTTTCATAGCAAGAATGGAAAATAAATGAATCCAATCAGAATCCTTGAAATACACTGGAAACACCAGAAATATATATAGTAAGAGGTCTAAATGGCTATTTTGATGTTGTTTGGTTGTATTCCCCCCCCCCCTTTTCTTTCAAACACAGAATAGGACAAACTTAAGGCAGAACAATATCATTTTGCATTCAAAGCACCCCATCTGCATTCAAAGCACCCCCCTGCCAAGAAGCAATATTCCTGCTTCTTGGCAGGGGGTTGGACTGGATGGCTTATGAGGTCTCTTCCAGCTCTATGATTCTATGACTCTAAAGAGAACAACCACACTAATACATCAGCTATGCCTTATGTAGAACAGGGAAGGCAACATAGGCCCAAGGATAGGGCAAGAGAATTCTTGCTGCCCCAGTTGTTTTAATACTGATCTTGGCATACATGTGACAACACATATACAGTGGGAAAAATAGTATTTAGTCAGATCCAAATTGTACAAGTTCTCCCACTTAAAAAGATGAGAGAGGCCTGTAATTGACATCCTAGGTAGACCTCAACTATGAGAGACAACATGAGAAAACACATCTAGAAAACCACATTGTCTGATTTTTAACAAATTTATTTGCAAATTATGGTGGAAAATAAGTATTTGGTCATCTACAAACAAGCAAGATTTCTGGGTCTCACAGACCTGTAACTTCTTCTTTAAGAGGCTCCTCTGTCCTCCACTCATTACCTGTAGTAATGGCACCTATTTTAATTTGTTCTCAGTATAAAAGACAACCTCAAGCAATCACACTCCAAACTACAGTATAGTGAAGGCCAAAGAGTTGTCGAAGAACACCAGAAACAAATTTGTCGCCCTGCATCAGACTGGGAAGTCTGAATCTGCAATAGGCAAGCAGCTTGGTGTGAAAAAATCAACTGTGGGAGCAATAATTAGAAAATGGAAGAGATACAAGACCACTGACAATCTCCCTTGATTTGGGGCTCCACGCAAGATCTCACCTTGTGGGGTCAAAATGATCACAAGAATGGTGAGCAAAAATCCCAGAACCACATGGGGGAACCTAATGAATGATCTGCAGAGAGCTGAGACCAACGTAACAAAGGCTACCATCAGTAGCACACTACACTGCCAGGGACTCAGATCCTGCAGTGCCATACGTGTCGCCCTGCTTAAGCCAGTAAATGTCCGGGGCCGACTGAAGTTTGCTAGAGAGCATTTGAATGATCCAGAAGAGTATTGGGAGAATGTCATGTGGTCAGATGAAACCAAAGTAGAACTGTTTGGCAGAAACACAACTCGTTGTGTTTGGAGGACAAAGAATGCTGAGTTGCATCCAAAGAACACCATACCTACTGTAAAGCATGGGGGTGGCAACATCATGCTTTGGGGCTGTTTCTCTGCAAAGGGACCAGGGCGACTGATCCATAGACATGAAAGAATATATTGTGAGATTTTGAGTGCAAACCTCCTTCCATCAGCAAGGCACTGAAGATGAAACATGGCTGGATCTTTCAGCATGATAATGATCCTAAGCACACTGCCAGGACAACAAAGGAGTGGCTTCGTAAGAAGCATTTCAAGGTCCTGGAGTGACCTAGCCAGTCTCCAGATCTCAACCCTATAGAAAACCTTTGGAGGGAGTTGAAAGTCCGTGTTGCCCAGCGACAGCCCCAAAACATCTCTGCTCTTGAGGAGATCTGCATGGAGGAATGGGCCGACATACCAGCAACAGTGTGTGCCAACCTTGTGAGGACTTACAGAAAACGTTTGACCTCTGTCATTGCCAATAAAGGATATATAACAAAGTACTGAGATGAACTTTTGCTACAGACAAAATACTTATTTTCCACTTTAATTTGCAAATAAATTAGTTAAAAATAAGACAATATGATTTTTTGGATGTTTTTTCTCATATTATCTCTCATAGTTGAGGTCTACCTATGACGCTAATTATAGGACTCACTCATCTTTTTAAGTGGGAGAACTTGTACAATTGGTATCTGATTAAATACTTTTTTCCCACTGTAATAGTTTTCCGCTGTTAAGTTTCACCCTGAGCCTTTACAATCATGTCTTCTCTACAAGATTCACATAGATAGTTCACCTACCCTACTCCACCCAGAAAGAGTAATTGTACTTTCAGGCATCAAAGGTTATCAAACACACCCACAAAATGTTCATAATCAAAAAGACATCATATAGGTAGAAATGTAGCAAATGAAGAGGAAGCCCAGATGTATATTTCAGTAGTACATTTATATTACATTACAAATTCACATTTCAATTGTGATTTCCATTTATTCTGATCACTACTGTAAGTCCATTTAAATGCTGCTCTAAGGCTAGAATTCAGACAGGTAGATCAAGCCCAGTATTTTTCTCCATTTGTTTGCAAGACAGTTCTATGTCTTTCCAGCTTCTGAAAATGGATGCATTGTTTTAGCCACACAAAACTGATAGAATTCTGACTGCTGTTACATCACCGATTCGCTATTCAATGGCCTAATCCTATGAGCTTCCCCATAAGCCTTGTGGCTCACAGGCCGATGTCAGAAAGGTCCCAGAATAAGGGCACGGCTGATCTCCTTGCAGTGATCTTAGGACATCAGAGTTATCTCTGCTCTGGCACAGGCCCTTTTGAGAGGATCCTGACATCACATGGCATTGTCTCCTTTATATTTGCATAGCAGAGAAAATCTGAACATCTTTGAGAAACAAGACTAAAATGGCTAATAAAGCACCATGACACTGTAAGGGAGCCAAGGCCATCTGATGGTTCTCAGGCTCTCACAGGTTTCAGTTCGGCTTCTTTCCAGATAAATGGGTATAGGACTGAGATCTTACTCAACTGTTTCCTAATTTTCTCTGGAATTGCCTCAGCTTTTAAAAAAAGAGACTAACAGCCACCTGCTTTAGCATTGAGCCCAGAGATGCTCTTCCAACACTATGATTTAAAAAAATGTCCAGGCCAGCACATAAGCCTCTAAATTGTGCTATAGCCTACGTTAAAAACCAGTAGTTATATGTCTTCCTCCTGCATTCAATATAACAAATTAAATATTGGTTTACACTGACAAGAGAGATCAAAGTTTTGTTGTTTATAAGAGTCTTTACATATTTTCCCAATCCTCACTTTATTTTAAATGCACAATGGCAGCAAGCTTTCCTGATTCGGACTCAACCAGATGTGTCTCTGAGATAATGCTCACTAGAGAAGGCAATATGCTCCCAGAGAAGGCACAGATTTTAATTTGAACGTGTTCTCATTTCTGCATCTGGTGCTTTCAATGGATCATTCCAGCACCTGGAGATGTATATGAGTTATTTTTCTGTATGAACCATGGAGAAAAGGGTCTTATCAAAGGGCACCACTGTACCTTTTCTACAAAACCCAAATCAAGTCAGCTTGTTAATCCTACCAACCCTGACTAACACCAAAAGTGCACTGACAATCGCTGAAGCCTACATACCTATATTCTGATGAAGTTTCAGGAGAAGCACTTCTTTGGTCAACTGTTTTTGTTGCACATCATCATCGCTGTATTCCTTTGTTGGACTTACTTCAACTGCATGGAGAAAATGATAAATAGTTGTGCTTTTACCTACACCCATGAACCATTCTGAGTTTTCCTCCTTCTTGCCCCATCTCACCAATCTTGGTCAAGATTAATGTATTGTTGATGGTTTTTATTGTCGGAATCACTGGGTTTGTTGTAAGATTTTTGGGCTTTATGGCCATGTTCCAGAAGCATTATCTCTTGACATTTCTCTTGCATCTTTGGCAGGCATCCTTAGAGTATCTCACAACCTCTGAGGATGCTTGCCATAGATGCAAACGAAACGTCAGGAGAGAATGCTTCTGGAAGATGGCCATACAGCCTGAAAAGCTCACAACAACACTGGTCAAGATTCTTTTGCTGTTTTAGTGATCATACCAAGGAAAACTAACTGGGCTGACTACAGATATATATATATATATATATATAGATAGATAGATAGATAGATAGATAGATAGCACATGGGCTTTATTTGTATATCACAGCCATTAAAGAGGAGCTCCAAGGCACAAACTGAATTCTATTGCAACAAATAAAATGCAGCACCAAATGTACTAGTGATTTATTGAACACTTGGGGGCTCCCTAAGTGGAATAATAAGAGACAAAACAACTACAAGTCACAAGAACCCTATTAGCATATAACCTGCCTAGACTCCCAGAGGACTCAGCATGGAAGACCCTCAGTTTGCCACTAGTTCTAGCAACAGATCAATGGTTTCATATCTTCTGCCTGCAATGGAATAAACCGTGGAGGGGGCACTGTAGCAGAATGGTGAGTCCTAGGGATGGCGAACAAGAGCTACAGCAAAGTCTCACATGTATAACTCTTATGTTGTGTCCTGGGTACAGATCCTTGGACATGGCCTACAGGACATCGGGACAGAGAATTAACTCCCAAGCCTCTCTTTGCTCTGTGGAGAGAGGCATATAATCCCATTTTTCTCTCTTCAAGGAGAACATTACTTTTCACTTTTTTGAATCCAGATCTGGTGTGTACCTACTTTAAGAACTGATTATGACATGGCATATACTTGTTGTGCATTTAACTACTGGGGAGCTAGAGGCTCTGGAAACAGTGCCTGGATTCACAATACAATTATTTAGGTGGCAACAAATGCCAGATTTCTGCTAAATGTTAGTCTCTCACAAATATTTAAGGGAAAACATCATTTTTACAAACATTGCTGTTTGTTGATATGAAATGAGGGTGGTGAAATACAAAGATTTCCCATCTGGAATGTGGAGGTTCTCTCTCAGAAGCACCCTTTCTTTGCCTGAGAAATAAATCCACATTATTATCTGTAGTCAATTATTAGAGATAACAGGGAACCTCCTTCAAGTGCTTCTGTCCACCCAGTCAGAAATAATGAGTACAGATTTGAAGCATGTGATTCAGCCAGGCTTTGGAAAGGCTCTTTAAATCACCAGCCAATATCTTTTGCATGCTTCCCACTATTTCAGGCACGATAATGAGAAGTGCATAAATTAGTAATTTAATTCATCTTACGCTTAAAGGAGCTGTTTCTCCAAGTATCAGAAAAATTCTTTTTCTTCATTCTACGCTATCATGTATATAAGGTCACCTTAAACAGCTTTATCCTACACATAAAGAATATGTCTATAACATTCTTTTTTCTGATCTTTATTTGATATTGCCAATTGGTTTGAATTGTATCAAATGGTGAAGGAGGATTCAACTTAGATGGCATGCATTTTACAGGATTTTTACTCATTAAAGCTACTTTTTGGAACACTAATGTTCAAAATATGCTTACAAATATTTAAAAAACCCATGTTCTCACTTGTCCACAATACGCACTAAAACCTAGTTAGACATCACAAGCTCTATACTATACTAAGATAGGCCATTATACGTAGATAGGCCAAATCCTTGCCACTGCAAAATGTAAAGGTGAAGAAGAATGGGTTGCTTCTTCGATATTTGCGCATCTGAGTTTTCTGCACCTGCAGCCAATTTTGGAATTCTCTAGAAGCTCTACAAGATACATTTTGGTGGTAGTCCCACCCACACTCCTCTTGATAGTATATAGCCAGTGGGAGTGGCTGCGGCCTCCGTTCCTTACATGCAAGATAGCAGCCATGAATACTGAGGCATCACGATCGCAGGGAGGATGGGTGGGGATACTCAAATTTCACAGAGGACCACTTGTAAAAAGCATGGTTACAAGTAAGCAACCCATTCTTCTTCTTTGTGGTCTCTGAAAAATCGCACATATGGGTAACTAGCAAGCTACTGAGTTTTGAGGTGGGGTCATGCAATGCAGGAAAAGGGCACAGCTCTTCCTAATGCAGCATCCCTCTAAGAGGAGGCATCCCGCTTGCAGTGGAGGATGTAGCGGTATTCCTCAGAAAAAAGTTGCTATTGTAGTGACAGCTCTAAGTGAGTGATCTTTGATGCGATGCGGGAGGTCCTGTCTCGTGAACTGGAAGGGAAGGCACATTGTGTCCGTGATTCATGAAGATATGAATACCATACGTATTATCACATCTTTGCAGTAATTATGGAAGAATTTGCAAGATTTTGTACATATACTTGTCCCTTAGATGCAGAAAGCTAGAGCTCTCCTCACAGCTATCGAGTGGAGAGTTTCCTCTAGTGAAGTGGTTCTATGTGAAGGGATAGGCTAGTGACCCTGTAAAATAGCACAATAGAAGGTCAGAGAGCAGGATATGTATTCTTGGGTTTGCAATCTGGTGGGGTAGCATTTGTAAAGATGAAATGAAAAGTCCACTGTTTTACAGATGTAATGGGAAAACCAGGAACACTGTGGTGAGTGTGGAATAGTGGAGTGACATTAGATGACTTGGGGAAATAAGCATATCACCACTTGGTGGATGCCCTGTGGGCAGCCTCAATAATCAACAGGGCTGGTGTGGAGAGGTGGTTGCAAACCTGGGTGGCAAAAGTGACCCCCCAAGACGTGAGGGGGTTTGGCCAATGACAAAGACGACAGAGGTTGCTCCTTGGTGCCAGCAGAAGAGACATAGACATAAACCATCACCGGGTGATTAAGACGCACTCTGCCCCATCCAGCATAATCTTTGTGGAGGATAGTGTGACAGCAGCCAGTGAAACCAATGGGAAGAAAGACATCTCCAGAGGAGCCTGGGGTCATCCTCAGCCAAAGCCATGCCTAGAATAGATAGGGCCACCTCTCAATGTTTTCAGTGACGGAACAGGCAGCATTGCTCCTGTAGGTTTAAGCAGTACCCGTGGTCCTGCTGAGAGCATTGCCTCCTGTAACCTGTCTTGTCTGCTTCATTTGAGTTGGCTCTGCAAAGCAAGAGGGGCCATTGAGGGACGATTGTGTCTACCACTCTAGCCACCTCTAAGTTGTAGAGATTGACAAGGGCCTTGACAGAATTGTCTACTGTCACAACAGGAAAATTCCCAAGAGATATCAGAAATACATCTGGATCCATAAGTCTCCTGGGGCAGAGCATCTTAATGGGTCCTCCACCACTGCAGAGGTTAGAAGTCACAGTTAGTCTAAAACTGATCAGGTGATGGTCGGTCCATGAAAACAGAACAATTTTGAGTTCCTCCACAACATTTCTCCCATCTGCCTTGAAAACCAGGACCAAGGTGTGTCCAGCTTCATGAGTGGGCTCAGATATTACTTGGGACAGCTCCATAGTTGTCATGGTGGCCATGAAGTCACTCCTGTCAGAATGGACTTGGCATGGATATCGAAGTCCCCCAGAACTATGAGCCACTGAGACTCCAAAGCCAGGCCTGAGACCACCCCTGCTAGCTCAGGTAGGGAATCTGTTGTGCAGAGGGGTAGTTGGTACACAAGTAGAATCTCCAATCTGTCCCGTTATCCACTCTCAAATGGACACAGATGGGCCTGTTCAGCCTGCAGAAGAGAAGGCTGAGAAGATTCATGTATAAATATGTGAGGGAAAGTCATAGGGAGGAAGGAGCAAGCTTGTTTTCTGCTGCCCTGGAGATTAAGATGCGGAACAATGACTTCAAACTATAGGAAAGAAGATTCCAACAGCTCACATGTCTTTACACTAATGCACAGAGCATGGGAAATAAACAAGACGAACACTAACTTTTAGCACAATACAACAATTATGATGTCATTGGCATCACTGAAACCTGGTGGGATGACTCCTATCACTGGAATGTAGACATCGAGGGCTATAATCTCTTTCACAGAAATCGAACAAAGGGGAGAGGAGGCGGAGTAGCCTTATATGTCAAAAACTGTTGCGCTGCAGAAGAGATGCAAGATTGCAATCCGGGAAACCAGCTTGGAAGCATCTGGATAAGAATCAAGGGAACTGGAACTCAAAAATATCTCATATAGGCGTCTACCTCCAGGCTAGGATGAAGAACTTGATGAAATCTTCTGCCAACAGTTGGCCAAACAGGCACAAAGAAGAGATATAGTGGTCATGGGTGATTTCAACTATTCCGATATTTGCTGAAAAACAAACTTGGCCAAGAATACAATGTCCAACAAATTCCTCACTTACCTTGCAGACAATTTATGGTCCAGAAGGTAGAAGAGGCAACAAGGGGATCGGCTACTCTTGATCTCATCCTAACAAACGCGGAGGACCTGATTGATGCAGCTGAAGTGGTCGGATCCTTAGGGGCAAGTGACCATGTGGTCCTGCAGTTTGAGGTACAAAGGAAGGCCGAAACTAAGACAAGTCAACCCAATTCTGGACTTTAGGAGAGCTGACTTCTGAAAAAGGAAGGAAATACTGAGCAGCATTCTGTGGACACAGATACTAAAAGACAGGGGAGTTAACGGACGGACGGGAGTTTTTCAACAGTGAAATACTCAAGGTGTTATTGCAAACAGTGCCAACAAAGAGAAAAAATAGAACAAGTGCAAAGAAGCCAGAATGGGTGTCCAAAAAACTTCTAACTGTGCTAAGACTCAAAAGAGACATGTACAAGAAGTGGAAAGAGGGAGAAATCACCAAAGAAGAATTCAAACAAATAATCAACTCCTGTAGGGAAAAGGTTCACAAGGCTAAAGCACAAAACGAGCTCAGGCTTGCCAGGGACATTAAAAACAATAAAAAGGGCTTCTTTTCTCATGTCAGTAGAAAAAGGATGAACAAGGAGGTGATAGGGCCTCTGCGAGGAGAAGGTGAGGCAATGCTGACAGGGAATAGAGAGAAGGCAGAACTACTTAATGCCTTCTTTGCCTCCGTTTTTTTACAAAAAGAAAGTCATCCTCAACCTCAGCAAAATGGAGTGGATGAGGGATTCGAGGACATCCACCCCCAAATTGGGTAACAAGTCATCCAGGAATACCTGAACGCTCTAAACGAGTTCAAGTCCCAGATCAACTACACTCAAGAGTATTGAAGGAACTAGCGGAAGTCATTTCGGAACCATTGGCAATCATCTTTGAGAGTTATTGGAGAACAGGAGAAGTCCCAGCAGATTGGAGGAGGGCAAATGTGGTCCCAATCTTCAAGAAGGTAAAAACAGACGACCCAAACAATATGCCTTGTATTGACGTCAGCCTCACATCAATACCAGGCAAGATTCTTGAAAAGATTGTTAAGGCAGAGGTCTGCAAACACCTAGAAACAAATGCGGCCAACACTAATAGTCAACATGGATTTTCAAAAACAAGTCACGCCAGACTAATCTGATCTCTTTTTTTGATAGGGTTTCAAGGTGGGTAGATATGGGGAATGCCATGGATGTATCATATCTGGACTTCAGTAAGGCCTTCGACAAGGTCCCATTGACTTTCTGGCAAACAAGCTAGTCAAATATGGTCTTGGCAAAACTACAGTTAGGTGAATCTGTAATTGGTTAAGCGAACAAACCCAGAGGGTGCTCACCAATGCTTCCTCTTCACCCTGGAAAGAAGTGGCGAGCGGAGTGCCGCAGGGTTCTATCCTTGGATCGGTCCTGTTCAACATCTTTATTAATGACTTAGATGCAGGGTTAGACGGCATGATCATCAAGTTTGCAGATGATCATTGGGAGGGATAGCCAATACTCCAGAAGGCAGGAGCAGAATTCAAAACTATCATAACAGATTTGAGAGATGGGCCAAAACTAACAAAATGAAGTTCAATGGTGACAAATGCAAGATACTCCACTTAGGCAGAAGAATGAATGAAATGGCTTGAGAGTAGTACGTGTGAAAAAGATCCTGGAGTCCTCGTGGACAAGAAGTTAAACATGAGCCAACAATGTGATGCGGCAGCAAAAAAAGCCATAGTATACAACTACACACACACACATATCAACTTAACTACAACATCACATGCTACTTAAATAGCAGACATATACTAGATAGCTCACACACTAGATCTTCAACTAGATAATAATGAATAATCAGGGGAAGAGATTATCTTTGCTGAAATCTTATTTGTGTTTATCTACTCAGTGGATTTAACCCCTTGATGTTGGATGCTGGGATTTACTAGAGCCAACTGCTAATGCAAATCTTACTTGTTTATGCCTGAGATGCATATGAAAATAGATTATGCAAATTATGCATAATACTGCAGTTAGGATTTCTTTTTTAATTACTAACTTACTGATGATTTCTTTCAATTCAATCTCAAACTTTTCAGACAGATCCCTATTACTTGCAGCAGAGATGACATTTCTTCTGGCTCAAGCACCCCATTAGTATATTTGTGTAAAAGCTATGATTGGAATCAGGGCCACAGCATAAGGAAACTTTCAGAAACAAATGTTCATGTCCAGTTAATTCCTTGGTCAGAGTTAAAAGAGCAAGTAAGAACCAAAACCATTGTGATATATAAACTAGTTCTAGTCTTTTGATCACTGAGTAGAAATCACTGGAATCATATACAAGAATATCAGGCACGCTTTACAAAGTTAACTTACTTAAATGTAATGGAATACTTATATTCCATAACATTTATTTAAATGATTTGTCTTGACCTACAGTTGCACCATCTTTCCACATACCCTTAGGCCTTATTGCTTGATTTATGAAATCTGGCTGATTTCAGCCCTTGGATGCTCTTTCCATTGAAATATTACATGATGAGGATTCTGTATATATTTGAAAATGAAAAAAGCAATATGTGAGAAGTTGGCATACTATACAAAAGCAAAAGACAAAGAACATCATGCCATGTGTTTGAAACTCCTTGGCATCTAAAAGCTTCCACCAATGTGAAAACCAAGTCAGGTTCAAGTTTGAAGGTAGCATACGTTTCACATATACAAGTCACAAATAAGATGGACTTGTATTTCAGGTTTAGCTTCTTAGCAAGTCCCGGAAGAGAATAATCCAGCTCTTAACCTCGCAGCTATATTTACCCATATTTATCTCCTCAGCTGTACACAAATCCTCTGTTTGAACAGCTTGATCCAGCATCTCGAGAAAACGCTCTTGGATTTCCCTGGCTGTTTCATCACCAAACTTATAATCACAAAACAAAACATTTGAGCCAGCAATGGGAGCAAACACTCGGCAGGGCAAGGTATGATATACTCTTTCTGAATCTAGCAAGAAAGAAAGAAAAATAAAATAAGAGGGAACAAAAGAAGCTTTTATTAAGAACAGTATGATCACATGCACACAGTAGAACATGAACAATGATTTTTATTCGTGTCAGGAGCGACTTGAGAAACTGTAAGTTGCTTCTGATGTGAGAGAATTGGCCGTCTGCAAGGACGTTGCCCAAAGGATGCCCAGATGTTTTGATGTTTTACCATCCTTGTGAGAGGCTTCTCCCATGTCCCTGCATGGGGAGCTGGAGCTGACAGAGGGAGCTCATCAGTGCTCTCCCCAGATTCCAACCTCCAACCTGTCGGTCTTGAGTCCTATCGGCACAAAGGTTTAACCCACTGTGTCACTGGGGGCTCCATGAACAATGATGAACTGGACTGAAACCACTGTAAATTTCCCCAGAAAATTTACATGCACTCAATGCAATTAATCTCTAGGTTTATATCCATTAAATTTTCAAGGTTTTTGTTCAAGAAACCCTTGAATCAGGTGCTGAGGCACCACATGTTAGAAATGAAGTTGATTACAAGGTGGACACTAACAAAACACATGCACAATTTCTATACAGAGATAGCACCAATATCATATCTAGTTGAGGAATTTTCTGGGCATAGAGACTTGTGATAGTGCCACACTGGTTGGACTGAATCAGTGGTTCCCACCCTTTGGGCCTCCAGGTGTTTTGGACTTCAACTACAAAAAATCCCAGCCAGCTTACCAGCTGGCCAAGTAATGTTTAGGAAGAGGAGAAACGTCTTTCTCCTCTTTCAACGTCTTGGAAGAAGTGGGATTGGCTATCATAATTATATAAAGATGCTTCTAAGCAACCTCTAAAAAGAAAAACAATAGAAGGAGAAAACAAGGTGAGACAAACTAAAACACACCTGGATTTATATATTAGCTTTTCTAAGCAACTAAAACATCGTAATATTTCTGATGAACATGACTGCAATCTATAAATGCGTATGTTATGTGGTTATCTGTAAGCCATCAGTGGTCAGTTTGTTGTTTTTGTTCCACCAGACAAACACTCTTTTGATAATTGTTAAACTGAAAAATATGGTTAAACTGAAAAATATGGTTTCAATTGTTAAACTGAAAACAAAAGCTCTTTTCCCTAAAATAGGGGTACAAAGCCTTGAGGGGAATAAAATGTTGAAAGGAAGAGGAAAGTATTCCAGAACAAATAGTATGAGCTTCTGCAAGAAACATAGCTAATACCATGTTAACCTCTTCACATCTACAGATAGCATATGCCACCTAAAGGAACAAAAATGCAAGTTACAGCCAGGCAACAGCATTTATTGTTCTGATATAGCAAGCACACATAAAGTAAGCAGACAATATGAAATTTTAAAGTATCAAATGGTGATATATGTATTTGATCTGTGAACTGAGAAAGAAGCCCCAAAGCCAAAGAAGAATGCAAATATTGCATCATTTGGAGAACAAGCCCTATGAAGAGCAGCTGAAAGAGCTGGGCCTGTTTAGCCTGCAGAAGAGAAGGCTGAGAGGAGACATGATAGCCATGTATAAATATGTGAGGGGAAGTCATGGGGAGGAGGGAGCAAGCTTGTTTTCTGCTGCCCCGGAGACTAAGACACAGAACAATGGCTTCAAACTACAGGAAAGGAGATTCCAACGGCTCACATGTCTTTACACTAATGCACAGAGCATGGGAAATAAACAAGACGAACACCAACTTTTAGCACAACACAACAATTATGATGTCATCGGCATCACTGAAACCTGGTGGGATGACTCCTATCGCTGGGATGTAGACATCGAGGGCTATAACCTCTTTCACAGAAACCGAACAAAGGGGAGAGGAGGCAGAGTAGCCTTATATGTCAAAAACTGTTACACTGCAGGGCAGATGAAAGACTGCAATCCGGGAAACCAGCTTGAAAGCATCTGGATAAGAATCAAGGGAACTGGGACTCAAAAAGATCTTGTTGTATGTGTCTACTACAGACCTACAAGCCAGGATGAAGAACTTGATGAAGCCTTCAACCCCATCCAACCCCAAATTGGGTAAGAAGTCATCCAGGAATATCTGGACGCTCTAAACGAGTTCAAGTCCCAGATCAACTACACCCAAGGGTATTGATGGTACTAGCGGAAGTCTTCTCGGAACCATTGGCAATCATCTTGGTGAAGGGGAGAATCCCAGCAGATTGGAGGAGGGCAAATGTGGTCCCAATCTTCAAGAAGGGAAAAACAGGCGACCCAAACAATTACCATCTGGTCAGCCTCACGTCAATACCAGGCAAGGTTCTGGAAAAGATTGTTAAGGAAGAGGTCTGCAGTGTGGATAGGATCTCTCACAAGGCCTATTATAGCACTGCAATAACCTATGGCAATTGGGTATCTATAGTGTAAAATATCTTCTCCAGGGTTTTCTTAGACTACTGGACCAGATTAAGGTGCGTGGTAGGCTGTAGGAGGTGATATGATGCAGGCCACTGGATACTGCCCTGAATAATCTTGTCATACTATCTCAGACACATGATGCTTTATGACTAACTTTTGTTTTCACTATCCAATGAACACATTCAAACATTTATCACATTTTAGAAAACTGAGATGGTTCCAGGCTACACTAATTTTAGAAACATTAGCTGCACAATCATGTTCTCTTTTCTCTTACTTTTCTTTCCTGTTGTTTCATTCATGAGCAGATCTTCAAACAATATTTCACAGCGATCAGAGAAAGTGTTTATTATGTCTCGCTTCAAAGCCTGAAAAGTCAGGAACAGAACAATATCAAAAGAGTATAACATTCATAAAAATATCCTAAGTCACAGCCAGAATAGATATAAAAAATGCTAAAACTTCTATACTTAAATGAGCAATGGTGTGGAAAGAAGAGCTACATAAAGACTTACCTTAAGCATAAGAGACGGCTTAAGAAGCTTAATATAAGTAAAAGAACCAGAAACTGCAACCTTGGCTCAGGAGGAAGATGGAGGAAATAAATTCTCTTTGTTATGATTGTTATATGGCCTTTGTGTATATGACTGAATGCATGGTGTGGGGAGTTAACAAGAGCAAAGCTGTTAAATGCTTTTTATGTGTGATTGGAACTTATATTTATTTTATTTGAGACTAACCCCCTGAAACTCAATCAATACTTAAAAGTTTGTCATGCTGGGCAAGTTTGCTCTAGATCAGTGGTTCTCAACCTGGGGTCCCCAGATGTTTTTGGCTTTCAACTCCCAGAAATCCTAACAGCTGGTAAACTGGCTGGGATTTCTGGGAGTTGTAGGCCAAAAACATCTGGGGACCCAAGGTTGAGAACCACTGCTCTAGATGCATCATCGATGGGGTTCAGTATGCTCTCCAGCTGCAGGATGAATTACAACTCCCACCATGGTGGGTCAGACCTGTCTAATCCCTCCAGTATGTTCAGTTGGTCATGGGAGTTCTGTGTGCCAAGTTAGGAACAGGTCCATCACCAGTGGGGTTTGGAAGTGCTCTTTGATTGCAGGTGAACTAACAAATGTGAAGGTCAATTCCATCCCAAACCCACCAGTATTCAAATTTTGGCATATCGGGTCCTGTATGCATGCCAAATTTGGTGCAGATACGTCGTTGTTTGCATTCACAGTGCTCTCTGGATATAGGTGAACTATAATTCATAGAATGATAGAATCATAGAATCAAAGAGTTGGAAGAGACCTCATGGGCCATCCAGTCCAACCCCCTGCCAAGAAGCAGGAATATTGCATTCAAATCACCCCTGACAGATGGCCATCCAGCCTCTGCTTAAAAGCTTCCAAAGAAGGAGCCTCCACCACACTCCGGGGCAGAGAGTTCCACTGCTGAACGGCTCTCACAGTCAGGAAGTTCTTCCTCATGTTCAGATGGAATCTCCTCTCTTTTAGTTTGAAGCCACTGTTCCGTGTCCTAGTCTCCAGAGAAGCAGGAAACAATCTTCTTCCCTCCCTGTGGCTTCCTCTCATATATTTATACATGGCTATCATATCTCCTCTCAGCCTTCTCTTCTTCAGGCTAAACATGCCCAGTTCCCTAAGCCGCTCCTCATAGGGCTTGTTCTCCAGACCCATTATCATTTTAGTCGCCCTCCTCTGGACACATTCCAGCTTGTCAATATCTCTCTTGAATTGTGGTGCCCAGAATTGGACACAATATTCCAGATGTGGTCTAACCAAAGCAGAATAGAGGGGTAGCATTCCTTCCTTAGATCTAGACACTATGCTCCTATTGATGCAGGCCAAAATCCCATTGGCTTTTTTTGCCGCCACATCACATTGTTGGCTCATGTTTAACTTGTTGTCCACGAGGACTCCAAGATCTTTTTCACACGTACTGCTCTCGAGCCAGGCGTCCCCCATTCTGTATCTTTGCATTTTTTTTTCTGCCAAAGTGGAGTATCTTGCATTTGTCACTGTTGAACTTCATTTTGTTAGTTTTGGCCCATCTCTCTAATCTGTCAAGATCGTTTTGAATTCTGCTCCTGTCCTCTGGAGTATTGGCTATCCCTCCCAATTTGGTGTCGTCTGCAAACTTGATGATCATGCCGTCTAGCCCTTCATCTAAGTCATTAATAAAGATGTTGAACAGGACCGGGCCCAGGACGGAACCCTGCGGCACTCCACTTGTCACTTCTTTCCAAGATGAAGAGGAAGCATTAGTGAGCACTCTCTGTGTTCGTCCACTTAACCAATTACAGATCCACCTCACCGTAGTTTTGCCTAGCCACATTGGACTAGTTTCCTTGCCAGAAGGTCATGGGGGACCTTGTCGAAGGCCTTACTGAAGTCCAGGTACGCTACATCCACGGCATTCCCCGCATCTACCCAGCTTGTAGCTCTATCGAAGAAAGAGATCAGATTAGTCTGGCATGACTTGTTTTTGATAAATCCATGTTGACTATTAGCGATGACTGCATTTGTTTCTAAGTGTTTGCAGACCGCTTCCTTAACAATCTTTTCCAGAATCTTGCCCGGTATCGACGTGAGGCTGACCGGACGGTAGGTGTTTGGGTCATCCTTTTTTCCCTTCTTGAAGATTGGGACCACATTGGCCCTCCTCCAATCTGCTGGAACTTCTCCCGTTCTCCAAGAACTCTCAAAGATGGTTGCCAATGGTTCCGAAATGACTTCCGCTAGTTCCTTCAATACTCTGGGGTGTAGTTGATCTGGCCCTGGGGACTTGAACTCATTAAGAGCGGCCAGGTATTCCTGGACAACTTCTTTCCCAATTTGGGGTTGGATGTCCTCCAATCCCTCATCCACTCCATCTTGCTGAGGTTGAAGACTCTCTTTTTGTGAGAAGACCGAGGCAAAGAAGGCATTAAGTAGTTCTGCCTTTTCCCTATCCCCTGTCAGCATTGCCCCATCTTCTCCTCGAAGAGGTCCTATCGCCTCCTTGTTTTTCCTTTTTCTACTGACATAAGAATAGAAGCCCTTTTTATTGTTTTTAATGTCCCTGGCAAGTCTGAGCTCGTTTTTTGCTTTAGCCTTGCGGACCTTTTCCCTACAGGTGTTGGCTATTTGTTTGAATTCTTCTTTGGTGATTTCTCCCTTTTTCCACTTCTTGTGCATGTCTCTTTTGTGTCTTAGCACAGTTAGAAGTTCTTTGGACATCCATTCTGGCTTCTTTGCACTTGTCCTATTTTTTCTCTTTGTTGGCACGGTTTGCAATTGCGTCTTCAGTATTTCACTCTTGAGAAATTCCCATCCTATAAATCAAAGTGAATTTCCCCCAAAGCTTTCCTGTATTTTTGTTGGCAATGGGGGTTCTGTCTGCTATGGTATGTCCAGGTGTCATGACATGATTTAAAGCTTAAAATAACAAGAATTTGACTCCTGCCCCTGAAGCAAGGTCAGCTTTAGCAAACAAACTTAGAGGAGGAGAGCAGTCCTGTATGGAAGTGATAACTGGGAGAAATCGTTCACAAGAGTTGAAGAAGGCTGGGAAAGGGTTTGGAAAGGGAGAAGGGATGAGGACTATAAAAGGGACTGAAGTTACACGGGGAAAGAGAAGGGCAAAGTCCCAGCTTGAGCAATTGAACCAAAGGAATAAATCAGTTGTAGAGGATGCATTGAAATTCAAGTTGCTGGCAGGTAAAATTCCGGAATGGTCAGCTGCCACTAAAGTGGATCTCTTTAAAGAATCAGATCTTCTAGAATGGGCACTGTACCATGATGACCCAGAGGATTTAGACTCCTGGATTTTGTTAGCTGGAAAAGTTGAAGGAAAAAAACAGCAAGTCAAACAACGGGCCAGGGATTTTATAGATGGTAGAAACACGGCTGCACCTAGAGCAGGTGCGGGAGGGTTCCGGCATCCTCTCATGCAGCACATTTTATTTGTCGTGTCAGGGCAACCAGTCAATTATATTACATTACTAACAGAACAAAGCAAACAAACAGACAAAATACAGAATTTGTGAGTTTGGTAGTTGATTAAATGTCCTTTGACCAGTATCTGGCCACTTGGAGCGCTTCTGGTGTTCCTGCAAGAAACATATGCATATGGCAGGGCTCAGGTTGCATTGCAGCAGGTGGTCAGTGGTTTGCTCTTCTCCACACTCGCATGTCGAGGATTCAACTTTGTAGCCCCATTTCTGAAGGTTGGCTCTGCATCTTGTGGTGCCAGAGCGCAGTCTGTTCAGCGCCTTCCAAGTCACCCAGTCCTCTGTGTGCCCAGGGGGGAGTCTCTCATTTGGTATCAGCCATTGGTTGAGGTTCTGGGTTTGAGCCTGCCACTTTTGGACTCTCGCTTGCTGAGGTGTTCCAGCAAGTGTCTCTGTAGATCTTAGAAAACTATTTCAGGCAGCACATGAGCAGCCAGGAATGGAGAGGAAGAAATTATGGATGTTTCGTGTGTGGAATGGAAGGACACCAAGCAAGGAATTATCTGAAGAATCCAGCAAGGAGAAGTGGATCAGAGTGCTCTAACAAAGGGAAGGAGAAGGCATCATCCCGATGAGCTGGAAGGGAGAGGGTGAATGTGACCAGAGAGGAGGGCGACTGGATGGCAGATCGAAGTCCTGGAGTGGAGTCGGCCAAGGACGATGGAGAGTTGGGACAGCTGGCGGAAAACTCCAGTGATCTGCAGTGAGGGAGCCCCAGCTGCAGATCCAGAACTCTCAGGGCACAGAGCCGTTGGTGAGTAATGACTGTGAAATGATACTATTACAGATTGTTCTAGCCAATGTAGAGAAGAGGAAAACTGTGTCTCTGGAAGCCCTGGTGAATTGTGGGTGTACCAGATGTCTGATTCCCCCCAGTGGTGACAGAGAAGCTGGAGTTAAAAGTAGAAAAGTTGGACTCCCCCATTGTGTTTACATAATTAGATGGGTCCAAAGCAGGAGGTGCCCCAGTGGAGTCATGACAGTCGGAACCCATTAAGAAATCTTATAATTTGTGGGGATTCCAAAAATCCAGTATCCAGTGACACTGGGAATGGCGTAGCTAAGAAGTAGAAACCCTCAAGTAGACTGGGCAAGAGGGATTTCGATTTATTCAGATGGGATATATTCTCCCTCCTATAAAGAACCCAGACCAGGGAAGAGGGATGTAATTGGTGTACTAGTGCAACTGGTAGAGTAGGAGATATACTTGCTAACAAAAACTATTCTAGAGGCATATCATGACTTCCTTGATGTATTCAGTGATAAACCAGCAGGGACATTACCCCCTCACAGGAAGACAGATTGTGCCATAAAAATAGACCCGCAAGCCAAGTTACCTAAGCCCAAGCTGTACGCCTGAGCCTCAATATTTAATTTTGTGGAAGGGCTTCCCCGAACCTGAATGGGTGAATCATGCTGACATAAGAACGTCTTGAGTGGTCAAGAAATTCCACCTAAAGTACCCTGACAAGCCACAGTAATGTTATATACCTAGTTACCATGCAATGTTGATGCTGTTTTCTTTTCTCTCTCTTATGGTTTTGGGCTTTCTTTTCCTTTTAAGGGGGCATCATGTCAGGACATGATTCAAAGCTTGAAAGAAAGCAAGGTCAGCATTAATAAACAAACCTGGAGGAGGAGAGCAGTCCTGTGAGGAAGTGATAATCAGGAGAAATTGTTCACAGGAGTTGAAGAAGGCTGGGGAAGGGTTTGGGGGGGGGGGGGGGGGGGAGAGGGATGAGCACTATAAAAGAGACTGAAGCTACATGAGGAAATTAGTAATGTTATTTTCTTTCTCGCATGTGTAGTAGTAATAAAGCTAGCTACAGTAAATCCACCTGGAGTGTGAGTACCTGTTAATTGCTAGAAAATACCAGCAGAAACCGACATCAGGGCCATCGTTGGTGAGGTCCAGAGTGCTCTTTGATTGCAGATGAACTATAAATCCCAGTACCTACAATGGCTATAAATCAAGGTGAATTTCCCCCAAATCTTTCCAGCATTTTTCTTTAGTCATGGGGGTTCTGTGTGCCAAATGTGGTCCAGGTCGATTGTCAATGGGGTCACAGTGCTCCAACTTCATGCAGGGTGAACTACAACTTCCATCATGTGGAGTCAATCCCCCAACTCCTCCAGTATGTTGAGTTGATTAGATCTGCTCTGTTTGTTGTGCAGGCAGAGTTGAAAAAAGTAGGAAAGGATTAAGGGAGAGGCAGCGGGTGAGATCTTGCAAATTCCACGCCAATGGGGAGAGAAAGAAACACTGGGACGTCTGCGGTGGAGGAAAAACGTAAAATCTAGAATGAAATTGTTCCCGAATGAAAGCATTCATTGGGTGGTGTTTGGGGAGGACATTGGCAGGGTTTGGGCTACATGTTCATGATGCCAGGTACAACCTAAAATGTCACTGCAAGGAGGGTTTTTGGTGGCTCCTCAGCACTGTGAGTTAAAGTTGTTTGTGGAGGTAGGAGCCTGTTTGTGGAAGTGGGCATCCCAGCCACATACACACATACATATTTTCACTTTGATTATGTATAATAAATAAATAAATAAATGCTGGGGAGGACAAAAAAGAAGAGAGCCTCTAGTCCCACTATCCCTTTCTGTCAGAACCAGTGAGACACTTTACATACAGAAGCCAGAAAAGCATTCCAAGGGTCATGTGCAAAGCAATGATCTATATCAACTGCTGATTCCTGCAGATAAAACCCTTCAATAGATTAAAGGGCAGAAACAGTACCTTAACAGCATCTTTAACTTTAGGCTTGTTATTATGGATGTAAGCTTTGCATTTTAAAGCACCTTTAAGATTTATGGAACCACCGCAGACCTGGACTGTTGCTGTAGATCTAGAGTTTGTCTTTTGTGACTGAAAGAGAGAACACAAAAGTAAGAAACAATTCCTTAGCTTTATATTTTCATATAACCAGTTCTCAATTACCCTTACCCTTTTATGAGCCGTGAGGAGAGGCAGGTTACAAATAAATTATTATTACTACTACTACAGCTGTAATTGTGCAGGTATTGTAAAGTCTTCAAACCTTAAATATGAAAGCAGTTGCTTGATCCAAATATTTAATTTAACCCTCCATATTTTTTTTAAAAAAGCATTGAAAATCATGGTTGAAAGAGGGGAATTTGATATCTTTGATCTTATTACAAAATATGACAGATCTGGCTATCAAAAATAATTAGACTTTGGAGCAAGAACCAAGAAAGGGGAGTATATTCACAATGCCCCCAGTTGCATTACTAGTAGAAATTAAAATGTTAATACTAACAAGCTCAAGACCATTGCAATTCAAAACAGACAGGCAAAATTGGAAGCCTGAATATTTTCAATTTCTCCAGTTAACTGTAAGTCACTGAGCATGATGAGATACTTATATTTTTTTCATCTGATCTCCTGGAATACCTGAATAGTTTCCAGTGATGGAAATTGGCAATCTTATCTTACATGTTTCTTACACAACATATCATAGTACTCAGCACAGAGAAACAACTGGTCTCTAACTACTTGATGGAGTCACTGGGTGAGAGAAAACTTCCCTATGGACTTTCCAAGCTTCCATTTCTTCATCAGTATCCAATCACTTTCCCATGAAATCAACATGGAAGAAAAGGGATGGCTTTCCATCTCAGTCTTACAAGAAATATCCTCCATAGCAATTTGATACAGGTAATTGTTATCAACCACTGTGTAAGCCATATTACACAAGCCCAAAAGATACAGATTTCCAAAGGCTAATCCATGGATTCACAGTTGAAGAGATATTTGATACATGGACTTCTCACACCAAAATTTGCATCAACACACTAGGGAATTTTCTTACCAATTGTGTTACAACCCTAACATCAAGGATCTGAATAGCTGATGGCACATTTCCTCTTCCTGCTTTTTTCTGTAGGAATGATGGAAACACAGAGAAAGATTTCTATTTTAAAACAGAATCTCCTTTCAGACATTTGTGTTGTTGTGGATTCTCAAGAAAAGGACCAAGTCTTTCAAATAAACAAACATTTTATGTGCCCTCCCCCCAGTCATCTATAGTTGTGTTTGTATAAAAGGATCAGCACAACGAACATTGGTATGCCTTTGATCAATATACGTTTCTACAGTGTATTTTTATTCCACAAGTTTTAGTGGCACAAGCAAAATGTATACAATAAACACATAAATAATTGCATATGAGTTAGCTTATTAAGCTTGTATGCCAAAGCCATGACTACCACAAACAGATGCAGGATGCCTGCACTCAAAAATTAAGGAGGGTGGAGAGAGGATTCATTTTGTTTTTAAAGACACAGAATTAAATGGCATGGCTGCTAAGAAGGCAAACTTGAGCTTGGTTTCTATTTGGAAGCAAACTGAACTGGAATCCAAATCAGTCAATATTGAAAACATCATGATTTTGCATCATGACATGACTATACAAATATGTGTTTCACCCTCCTCCAAGCATCCTAAAATGCATATAGGGTTTGTGAAGATCTTTAAAAATTAGGCTGTTAAACTAGGATAGAACACACATGTAATGAAAAAAAGGGAGCCAAAGGGAATACCAATAATCTGTAACAACTTGCCAGGCCATGAAAATGTGTGTGCTTTTAATTCTTTTCCAGACTTCCCAGTTACATAATTCCACATCAAGCATGCTATCAAACTCTCCCATTCACTTGATAACACATTATAGGCTATGAACTGCTACACTGAGGTTGTAACTATTTCCAAACTTCCTTCCTGGTGCAAGAAAGCATATGTCTCAGGACTAAAGACTGGATGGCCATCTTTCCTGCAACAGCATTTTCTCTGAAAGATGTACTTTGTCAGCAATCCTCATCGCTTCAACTCAAAAGCAACACTAGAAGTTGACCAGGCTTATACCATACTTTAGCACTGTTATGTTGTTTAGCACTTACTTGCCCTTCCAGCAAATCAGCATCTTCTTCTTTGACTTGACTGTTGATCAAAAAGACAGCTTCCTCTATCTGCTTAGCCCATCGTGCTAATCCATTCTTTGAAAGCAGAATCAAGAAAAAAGGATGGATGTTGGGAAAAAATAATTTAACTCACCAATCAAGATTACTCCTATAAGTCCAAGAGTATTCCCTCCAATCCAAGCTATACCGTGAAACACATCCTTATTTAAGAAAACTCATAAAAACTCAGAAGACCCTTCATTTACCAGATACTTCTAAACATAACAATTTACATCTGCATTCTGCCATTTCTCCAAAGACCTCAGTACTGCTTAAACAAGGATATTTAATATAACACATACTTTTTATATTGGCTACAAAACAAAAGGCACAGGATCTCACATATTAAGCCATTTGCAAAGGTGTCTTACGGACATCACATGTCTTACATAAACTTTAAAGATAAGGCAATTCTCCCAATGATCATGTTCATTTATTCTGGTTTGACAAAATTACAGAGAAATCTGACTCATCTTTCACAAAGAAACATTCTGATGAATACTGTTCAAAAGCTCCTGTTGGAGTCCGAGGGCTTCATAACAAGGAGCATGCCAGTAATGAAAAAAAGTGTAGCCTCATAGCATGGTTTGTTGTTGTCAAATAAGATCTGAGAATCACAAGCCAACTTCAAACCCTGGCTTCACACATTGCCTCATTAACAAATGGTAACTCTTGGTTCTGATAGAAATGTAAGTACTTTGTGGTAACTGATGCCACCCCTTTGGGAAGAGGCGACTAGAGGAAATGCACATTAATAAAGTAGGTTTATCTGAAATTCTAGGGTTATTGTTTTCTGTGAACATGGTCACTGCTTCATGTTCCTACTATACATGATACGTTTTGTATTAATGGCTATGTAGAGTACTTGTTCTATCTTCATCATCATTATATTACAATTTTGTTGTTCATTTGGTTTCTATTTCATAAGAGCACATAAAAGGATCACTATTAAAACCAGAAATTATGAATGCAAACTTTGTAAACCTGCACAAAAAAGACAAATGAAAGACTTTATTATTCCCTTAAGGTGTATATTACAAAAAACACCCATATATAAAAAAGAGGGCAGATGGAGGAAAAGTTTGAAATCAGGGAAAATGGCTTAAAAGAGAAAACTTGGAAAGTGTCCTGACTCAGGAAATAGCAAAACAGAAGCAGAGAAAAAAAAAAGGAGCAAGCCATCCAATATACATCATATTATTTCAGGTATAACTATTATGTTGACAAAACCAATTGATAAATAGGAATTGCAATGTTACCCTTGTATTTTTTTCTAGGTCGTGACTGGATGATGTAGTTGGCAATGGGATGTGTATATTAACATTAATAGTGCATTCTAGAGATAGCCAGGAAGTTGAGAGGCCATTCTGGTATTTCCAATCTGCTGGTTTGGCTGTACTCTAAATGAGGGATATGGGATAGGAAATCATTAAGAGACAAAAACAAACAAACAAATAATTAAGCTAACACAAAAATAATTTCTTCAGTTTCTAATCTAACATAAATGCTGATTCTGTAGACATTTATTCCAAAATATGTGTGACTGAATTCAGTGGAACCTTCTTGGAAATCCACAAGATTATAGTTAATGAAGCATTATTATTTCTCCAACTGGGCCTTTGGAATTCAAAAAGGTCCAGTCTACCAGCAACCTAACTGACAAAATCTCTATTGAAAAGCCTTGAGCTCAAGAACAGTTTAACTTCCAGTCATTTGAAGCGGGGTTTCAACAGATATTACTCTTACATGAGACTTAACAACTGTCCTATCCTGCTCACCATCAGTACAACTTATTTATTATTTACTTATTGCATTTCTATATGGCTTTTCTCACCCCTGGGGGGGGGGGGGGGGGCTCAAAACAGGTTATAAGGTAAAAGAAAAGGTTTTCTGCTAGGTGAGTTTTTGACGTATGTTAGGTAAAGGTAAAGGTAGTCCCCTGACATTAAGTCCAGTCTGACTCTGGGGTGTGGTGCTCATCTCCATTTCTAAGCCGAAGAGCCAGCGTTGTCCGTAGACACCTCCAAGGTCATGTGGCCAGCATGACTGCATGGAGCGCCATTACCTTCCCGCCGGAGCGGTACCTATTGATCTACTCACATTTGCATGTTTTTGAACTGCTAGGTTGGCAGAAGCTGGGGCTGACAGCGGAAGCGTACGCTGCTCCCCGGATTCGAACCTGCGACCTTTCGGTCAACAAGTTTAGCAGCTCAGTGGTTTAACCCACTGCGCCACCAGGGGCTCCCAAAGCAGTGTACAACATAATAAATGGTAAAAAATTCAATGCCAAATATACATATAAAAGCAATACATAACGTATCTAAATCAGTAACATATAACTATGAATTTAAACCATTAAAAACTATACAAAAAACATCAACCATGAACATAAAACGTATTAGACATTGCACCAGTCCCATGATTATCATTTAGGTGCTTCAGTAGTGCTATCACTCACTGAAAGCCTGCTTGCATAGCCAGGTTCTGAGTTGTTTTCTGAACACCTCTCACTGTGGAGGGACTTCCACGGCCAAGGGGCCACCACTGAGAAGGCCCTGTCTCTCGTCCCCACCAGTCGCACCTGCGAAGTTGGTGGGATGGAGAGCAGGACCTCCCTGGCCAATCTTAATGCTCGAAGTGGTTCATAACTTACCTTTGGATCTTGCACATCATAAGTGCGACAAGTGAATCGTTCCTAATTAAGGAAAGAGTCTGCTTGAAGACAAGAAATATTTATTAACATTAGTCGGTAAAATCAGTAAAAATGGTGGCCCATCCTCAAATAGAAAGTATATGTGGTTACAGCAAATTCAGTGAACACACTCACACATCACTCATTCATCTATCTTATCCCTGATAGCAGGAAATACACATTTTGAAAATTCACATGAGAAATCTTGGTGTTGCTATTCAATTGTTAACAGTGAACTATCAATTGCTGAATAAGAATACTGCTGCATTTCTGTCCTGATTGTGGATGCTCCACAACTAACTGCTTGGCCACAACGATATAACCATAGGTCTTTTGTAATAATAATAATATAATAATAATAATATTTTATTTATACCCGCTACCACCTCCCCAAGGGACTCGGTGCGGCTTACATGAGGCCGAGCCCAAATACAACAATACAAGCAATAACAATAACAATACAAGCAATTTAAAATAACAAAACAATAAACCAATAACACATACAATATCAATAGGACAACACACTTTAAAAACTATGGGTAGGCCAAATGTAATTAAAATTAAAAGATTAGAAACAATGCTGGACATGGACGAAAAAGTGATAGGGCAGTTTGTGGGAACATATGAGCAGACCTAAATATATAAAGTGCTTTAGAGGACAAAGTGCTATGGGATCATTCTTCTGAGAAGGCACACTGGAACAACCACGTCTTCAAGCTCCTCTTAAAGACTGCCAAAGTTGGGGCATGCCTGATGTCCTTAGGGAATGAGTTCCAGAGTCGAGGGGCCACCACCGAAAAGGCCCTCTCCCTCGTCCCCACCAATCGTGCTTGCGATGCAGGTGGGAGCGTGAGCAGGGCCTCTCCAGATGATTGAAGAGAACGTGTGGGTTCGTATACAGAGATGCGGTCACAAAGGTAGGCGGCTCCCAAACCGTTCAGGGCTTTGTAGGTAAGAACCTGCACCTTGAATTGGGTTCGGAAAATGAATGGCAGCCAGTGGAGCTCCTTGAACAGGAGGGTTGACCGCTCCCTGTAAGGAGCCTCGGTTAACAACCTGGCTGCCACCCGTTGGACCATCTGGAATTTCCGAGCCATTTTCAAGGGCAGCCCCACGTAGAGTGCATTACAGTAATCCAGTCTAGAGGTGACTAAGGCATGTACCACCCTGGCCAGATCTGCCTTCACGAGGTACAGTCGTAGTTAGCGCACGAGTCTTGATTGTGCAAAGGCCCTCCCAGCCACCGCCGATGCCTGAGCCTCAAGCGTAAGTGATGAATCCAGGAGGACACCCAAACTGTAGACCTGTGACTTCAGGGGGAGTGCAAGCCCGTCCAACATAGGTTGCCACCCTATACCCCGATCCGGTTTACGATCTACCAGGAGGACCTCTGTCTTGTTGGGATTAATCTTCAGCTTGTTCGTCCTCATCTAGACAGCCACAGCGGTCAGGCACTCGTCCAGCACCTGAGGGGCTTCCTTGGAGTTAGGTGGAAAAGAGTAGTAGAGTTGTGTGTCATCTGCACAGAGATGGCACCTAACTCCAAAACTCTGGATGACCTCTCCCAATGGTTTCATGTAGATGTTAAAAAGCATGGGAGACAGAATGGAACCTTGCGGGACCCCACAGGTCAAAGGCCAAGGGTCTGAGCAGGTGTCACCCAGCTTCACCATCTGGGATCGACCCTCTAGGAAGGACCGGAGCCACGACAAAGCCGTGCCTCCAAGGCCCATCCCGAAGAGTCATCCCAGAAGGATACCATGATCGATGGTATCGAAAGCCGCTGAGATGTCCAAGAGAACCAACACTCCCCCTGTCCAGCTCCCTACGGAGGTCATCCACCGAGGCGACCAAAGCCACCTCGGTGCCATGGCCAGGTCTGAAGCCAGACTGTGACTGATCCAGATAGTTGATGTCATCTAGGAAGCCCTGGAGAGGCGACCACCCGCTTCAACACCTTACCCAAAAAAAGGGAGGTTTGAGATTGGTCTATAGTTGTTCAAGACCGTGGAGTAAAGGGAGGCCTTTTTCAGGAGTGGTCTAACCACCGCCTGTTTTAGTCCAGGTGGAAAAATTCCTTGCTCCAACGATACATTAATGATCAGCATAAACCAATCAATCAAACCATCCTTGGCTGATTTAATTAGCCAAGACGGGCAGGGGTCCAGAGCCGACATGGTCGCCCTCACTGCTCCAAGGGCCATCTCCACGCCCTCAGGACGAACGAGTCGAAAGGAATCCCACACAACCAGACACGCAGATGCCTCGGTCACCTCTCTTGGAACTGCGATTAAACTGGAGTCCAACTCAAGATGTATCTGAGCAACTTTGTCTGCAAAGTGCTGCGCAAATACCGCAGCACAGAGTTTTCGGGTCGTCGAAGGTCTCCTCCACCTCAGTGGTGTGAAGAAGTTCCCCAACGACCCGGAACAACTCCGAAGATCTATTAGATGTAGACGCTATACGGGCAGTCGTGAAGGACTCCCTGGCTACCCGTATAGCCGTGGAATAGGCCCTAAGAGAGGCCGTAGCCCGTGCTTGGTCAGATACATCCTGAGATTTCCTCCATTTGCACTCTAGCCTCCTTCTCGTGCACTTCATCACAGCCAACTCCCCAGCTAACCAAGGAGATGGTGTGTCTCTACGCAGCGAGAGGGGGCGTTCGGGAGCGATCAAGTCTATCACCCTGGCCATCTCACTGTTATAGCAATCGACCAGGGTGTCGACAGAATTGCCAGGCTCCATGGCAGGAAGAGCCCCAAGATTCCTCAGGAATCCATCCGGATCCATCAGTCTCCTGGGGCGGATCATCTTAATTGATCCTCCACCCCTGCGAAGGTTTGAGGTCACAACAAGTCTAAAACTGATCAGATGATACAATTGATCAGATAATACAATTATAAAACAATGGTAGATAAAACTAACTGCCATCAATTCACAAGGTGCCGTGTCAGCTTCATATGGGACCATTTTATTTATTTATTTATTTATTTGCTACATTTATATACCGCCCCTCTCAGCCCGCAGGCGACTCAGGGTGGTTTACAGCCAACATCAAAGCATAAGAATATAATAAAAACAATTAAGACAATATAAAATCACAGTAAAATCAATAAAAACATATGTCATTTGAGTCTCCTTGTTAAAACATTGTCCAATTACATTCGTGCAGTCAGTCCATTTAACTTACGCACAGTCAAAGGCCTATCTGAGCATCCATGTTTTCAGGTTGGAATGGTAGGATTGAAGGGTGGGGGCTAATCTAATCTCTTTTGGGAAGGTATTCCAGAGCTGGGGGGCCACCACAGAGAAGTCCCTCTCTCTCACCCCCACCAACTGCTCTTGAGATGGTGGTGGGACCAAGAGAAGGGACTCCCCTATCAATCTTAGAGCCCGCATTGGTTCGTAGAAAGAGATGCAGTCATGAAGATAGGTTGCACCGAGGCGTATAGGGCTTTATAGATTATAACCCGCACCTTGAATTGAACTGAAACTGTGGTGTGGACCACCGTGGCCAAGTCAGATTTTTCGAGGTATGGTCACTGCTGGCGCACAAGTTTAATTGTGCAAAGGTTCTCCTGACCACCGCCAACACCTGAGCTTCAAGTGTCAGCGCTGAGTCCAGGAGGACCCCCAGACTGCGGACTGGTGTCCTCAGAGGGAGTGTAATCCCATCGAGCACAGGTTGCCTCCCTATACCCTGATCAGCCTTGCAACCGATCAGAAGGACTTCTGTCTTTTCTGGATTAAGCCTCAGATTGTAATCCTTCATCCAGTCATCACAGCTGTCAGGCACTGGTTTAGGATCTGGGGGGCTTCCCTAGAATTCTGTGGAAAAGATTAGTAGAGTTGTGTGTCATCTACATAGAGATGATACCCAAATCCAAAACTCTGGATGATCTCATCCAGCAGTTTCATGTAGATGTTGAAGAGCATGGGGGAAAGTATGGACTCTTGTAGAACCCCCACAGGCCGAGAGCCAGGGGTCTGAACAGACATTCCCCAGCATCACCATCTGGATATGATCCTGCAGTAAGGATTGGAGTCACTGCAACACAGTGCCCCCAAGACCAATTCCGGAGAGACGCACCCACAAGGATACCACAGTCGATGGTATTGAAAGTCACTGAGATGTCCAAGAGAACCAACAGGAACACACTCCCCCTGTGTAGTTCTCTGTGGAGATCATCCACCAGGGCAACCAAAGCTGTTTCCATTCAGTGACCAGGCCTAAAACCAGATTGTGAGGGATCAAGATGAGCAGTGACTTTCAACAATCTCTGGAGCTGGGAAGCAACCACCTGCTCCAGAACCTTGCCCAGAAAAAGGAGGTTTGAAATAGGCCAGTAGTTATTTAGTATAGTTGGATCCAGGAACGATTTCTATAGAATAGGTTTTACAATTGCTTTTTAGAAATTAGATAGTAAATGTCCCTGGTCCAGCGAGGCATTAATGATCCTCAAGAGCCACTTGGCCAAACCCCCACTGAAAAAAAATCAGAGGGGGAAGAGTCCTAAAGGAGTCATCCAAAACCAGTACAAAGGAATTATTGGGGCTAACTGATCAGTTTTGTGATTCTGGGGAAGTAGCTGGTATGGCTATGTTTCCACAATTTGTCATAATCCTTGGGGGGGGGGGGGGGGTGGTGGTGGTGGTTGGTGATTGATTTAAAACTGATTCCCTAGACAAGGTTTGCATGGGGTTATTGATGGACTTTTTCTCTGAGAGTCTACATGAAAGTTTTGCAATGAAATGTGAATAGTAAAATTTCATATGGATTTACTTAAAAGTTAATCTAGATTCAGCAGGTTTACACACAGCTGAAATCTAAGACAAAGTAGCTAGTCCCAACTAGAGAACATTGGTTTGACTATTTGGTAGATGGTAAATTAATATCTTATGTAAATCCCATTAATCCAATGGGAAGTTGCTGGTAATTATGAGAGAAATAAGGCTGAACAATATGAAAACCACCTACTGTATGGCTATCAGCCTCCTCCCAGTAGACTTAAATCAAGGGAAAGTTTCATAGGAACCACCACTCCTCTAAATGTTCCCCCAGCAAGAGCAAGAATATCCTTGTGGGCAGAAAAATCAGGCAATTCCAACTGGATGGCCCCCTACAAGGGTTATTTTCTCCAGGGGCAAACCAAGAATGGGCCACTTGGAAGTTCCTGAACAAACTAAGAAGTGGAGTGGGCAGATCAAAAGACAACCTGGCTAAATGGCACTAGCTAGAACAGTGGTTCCCAACCTTTTTTTGCCCAGGGACGACTTGACCAGGGACCACTCTCCAACATTAGTACCAAAAGGGTTACAAATCAGTTTCTGGTCAACTTTAGATTCGGTTTGGTTATTGGGGTACTGATTCAGAAAATTGCATTGGATAGACCACATCAGCTCTAGTTTCTGATGCAGAACATATGTCATCCAGCAGTCGCCATATGCTCCCCCACAGAAAACCATATTTATTAATTTAGAACTGATGTGTTCTATCCAATGCATTTTTCTGAACAGGTCAAAAAACGAAGACATAAACAATTGTTGGGTTGGACTGTGTTATTATTGTGGATTTTGTTAACATTTGTGTAAAAAAAAAAAGAAGTGGAGGGGGTTGAGGGTGAAAAAAAATACAAAAACTGGAGCGCAAGATCTAAGAAACTGTCCCTAATAGTTATAATAATAATATCAACAACAACAACAACAACTTTGGGGGAATAAACAGGGTCTTACAAAGGGCTGCTTTTCCATTACATCTCTTGTGTTTGGCAATGAGAGCTATTTTTATTATTATTGTTGTTGTTGTTGTTGTTATTATTTGCTTTGGGGGACTAAATAGGGTCTTACAAAGGGCTGCTTTCCCATTATGACTGATGTGCAGCAATGGGAGCTAATATCTACTACTACTACTACTACTACTACTACTACTACTACTAAGGGGGACTCTCTCTCTCTCGCTTCCTCGCTCATGCTGCCAGGTGAGTCTTTGCCCTGGCCTGGGAAGCCTCCCAAGACCGGGAAAGCGCTGGCAGGCGCAATGGCCTTCCTTCTCTCCCTCTTGTGGCCTTATTTTAGGTTTTGCAGCCTACCTGTGGGCCAGGGTTGGGAACCACTGACCTAGAAGACCCCTCCACCTTGTGTGACTGTGGAGCATAACAAACAACTCAGCATCTGTACGCTTGCCCACAATGCCCTGCCTCATGCACAGAGGAAGAACTGTTTAAAGCTACAGACAATGCTGTCATTGTTGCCCATTTTTGGTCTAAAATTATTTAGATGCTTGTGCTCCCTGTATTTTATCTGTTTTATACTTATTTCTTTATGCAATGCTTTTGACACAGAATAAAAATAAAATGGGTCTCCTCTAGTTAAAACCACTCATTATATTTAAGCCTGGAAAGTTCAATTAAAACAAATCAGATCAAATTTACTTCCTACATATGAAACTGTAGTTTTGCTGTTAAAAGGATACTTCTTTGTAGCAGTACAAAGATGAAGAGCCACCCTATCTGACACATCATCTTCTGATAAATTCCACAATCGCTTTCTGGCTATAGCCTTTTCTACCGAGAAAACAAGCTAGGAAAGGAAGAAAGAAACAAAGTTAGGATTCATTCCTAGATGTCAAAAAAAAAAAAAAGGAAAAAAAAAAGAAAAGAAAGAAAAGGAAAGGAAAGAAAACAATGCCTCTAGTTGCAGCTGCTAAGACCAAGAAGGCCAATTTTGTTTCTGAGGCTCTTCTTTACTCAAGGAAATCGTCTTCACCTCAACTGTTATTTTTCAGTTTAGCACCTCTTTTACAACTTTCAAAGTAGCATCAACATGTACAACAAGAATATCTATGACCTTCCTGTATTTCAGGAACAGTCTGGGAGACTGGGGTCAGATGTTCTTTGCACATAAAAAGCAAGGTGCATAAACTACCATGGGTGTGACTTTCACAGAGACCACAATGAAGAAATAAAGACAAATAAATGAATATGCCAGAATTTAAAACATTCTGGAGAGATATCTCCCTCCCCATCCTATTTCTCCCTTCTTGCCCCCACCCTAGAAAATGAAATGGATTTAGTGAGGCCTCAATAAAGAGACTGTTCAGCAGCTGCACTCTTGTGTTCAGAATTTCCCATCCTAGAGAAGCCTAGAACTTCTTCAGTAAAAAACATTTTCACAATAGGCAGCTACCTTCTGAGTATTTTTGCTGTGCTGCTTTCATGTTCTTTTAGTTGTCTTAATTGGACACATTTCTTTTTTACTGTTCAATTTCATTAGATTGCCTTTAGTTCTTCTCTTATTTCATGTATATAAAATGTATATTTTAATATGTACTTGATTGTTTTGGCTATATGAATAATTCCCTTTTTATAATCTACCTTTAGCAGTTACACAAGAAGAAGTATTCTTTGTCAACAGTGCGTCTATGCTTGCAGGCTTTATTTCTTAAACTGCAGCTACATAGTAGAATTGACCTCTCTTTAACTGCCATGGCCTCAATGCTATAGAATCCTATCCCCCCTCCCTGGATGGATTGTCATTTTGTCATGATGAGGGGGCTTGCATGTTCCAATGAACCTGCGGGCGCAAGCACTGGAGTCATGCACTCCCAGGAGGGGTCGCGGGGAGGTCCCAGACCAAGAACAATCCAAAGACCTCAATGGCAGAGCAGACGGAGGATAACATGGTACATGTTACAACAGCAGTGAAGGCGGAAGAAGGCTGCAACAGATTGAGAAGCCACTGTCGTCATGCTAACCATGCCACTGGATGGAACCTCACTCTGTGAAGACTGTGTGTTGATCGGCTGTGCACTGACCTCCACACATGAAAAAAAAACCTCACATCTGGAAACAGATGTCCTCACTGTGGGAGAAGATGAGGATCAAGAATAGAGTTCCATAGCCACCTATGGACCTACCGCTATGACACCACATCTGGGAGACAATCATCCTTGAGCTACGAGGGATCGCCTAAGTAAGTAAATAGTAAGTAAGGAATCCTGGGATGTGTAGTTTGGTGATGCGTAAGGACTACTTGGCAGAGAAGGTTAAAGACCTTGTTGAACTACAACTCCAGTGATTCCACAGCATTGACTTATGGTAGTTAAAGTCATGTCAAACCGCATTAATTCTACTATATAGATACATTCTAAGAAATAAAATAAAGGCTGCAAGTAGAAACTGACATTCAATCAGTTTTCTCTAAGTAAGGAGTGAGCAGTTCTCTGATGCAAACCTAACAAGAGATTTTCCATTTAAAACAATTCCTTGTTCCTGGAGACCCCCAAGATCAATCCTTTGGGCACAGAACAGAGTGCAGAATGCTTCTAATCTCTCAAAATGTAGAACACACAATTCTGGAAGTGGCTACTTGGGTCTGGTATTTTTCACCCCGGTGAGTTTTGGATATCCCTAGAACTTTAGAGGTTGCCCATCCTGACACAAAGGAAATACTTGAAATGCCATCTTTATTGTTTACCTTGCGTAGAGTAGTTTGAATCTCTTTTGCCAGTTCTGGAACAGCAACAGTAAAAACACCAAGAACTAGGAGTCCTCCAGGAAGCATTCTGGAGACCTACAAAGTCAGGCCAACACCAATAATGTCACTGATATTTCTACAAGGAATGGTCGAAGTTTCATATGTGATATTTTACAGAGTCAGAAGTCAGCATGCCTTATTCTACCTGTGCATTGCAAACTAATGAATTGCTGATCAATGTGGCTTTGAGCCAATCATTAACTCTTTTCTTACCTTTTTAGAAAAAGTGAAGTAAAATGGTGTATGTGTGTATACACAGGATCGCCCTAAAAGCCAGCCTATCCTAAACAGCGATCTTACAAATAAAACCATGCCCTTAATAGTACAGGATCTTTTTTAAAATGATGAACATGCTACTTACTCAATACATTTGTTATGATTAGAATGTAGCCACTACTTGGAGGGTTGAACAATTTAAACAGATGGGAAGAATTTGGGGGGGCGGGGGGACGGGACAGCAGTAAGGATGTGGCAAGGGAATTTCCCTTAGTATACTGGCAACATTAACAGGCATCATATCCCCGGATTGGTGAATGTTTGTTGTCATCTACATAGTTGTAACATCTATAAAGGTCCTCACACTTTTTACAGACAGAACTAATATAAGAACAGAATGTTGGTTACCTGATTGGCATGAGCTGTCATCCATTCCTCATCAATATTAGTCAAGCTTGAATGGTAACCTGGATTGCTTCTGCTTTCTTCCTCCTTTGGGGGTGTTCGAACAGCTAACAAGACATAGTCTCTTTGCTGGGAGCACTGGGGAAAGAAAGAAGTAGCTCAAAGCAATGCAAGTTCAACTTACAGCATTTAAAAAAAGCATTCATTTACCACAATATTTATTTATATAATGTATTTATACCCCACCTTTCTCAAGGAAGTTAACAACCACAGAATCTGGTCACAGTTTAAAGCAAAGCAAATACAAAAACTAAAAAAACCCAATTAAATAGTACTGTGTGGATTAGGTTCAAATCAAATCAAATCATTTATTTCATCATTGATTTAGGTTAAATTACAATTAATTAAAATATAATAAATATAATTCAAATTACATTTAAATCTCCCAGCAGTGTACAATACATAAACTGAGATTAAAACAGATCCCCTCACTCAGTCCTTATTCAAAATATCGTTTTTTCCTTTTGTCCTTTGAAACAGGAGGTTTTTAAAGAATAGGCTGAAAGTGCACTGTTTTAATCTCAACATATTTGATGGCTTTTTGTCTTTTAGTTGCATTGTATCTCTTTCAGTGTAGGTTAAAACTATTTTAACGTTGTAAATTACATTTTATTTTTCACTTTTTATGTATTATGGATGAGCATGCTACTTATTCAATACATTTGTTATGATTAGAATGTAGCCATTACTTGGAGGGTTGAATATTTAAACAGATGGGAAGAACTGAAAAAACAGCAATAAGGATGTGGCGCTTAGTGTACAGGCATTAATGCTTTGAGTCCTAATTCCAAGATAAAGACAGTGATATAAATAACTACAAATATAAACTATAATGTTAAAGCTTACTGAGTGTGATGCAAGTTTATTGTTCTTTTCAAACATTTTCCTTTTCATCATGGTGAATTTGTAATAGAATGCTACAAAACTCTGCTGTTCTGAATAACTGAAAAAGTGGGTTTGATTGGAACTATTAATAATCTTAAAAAAACCCATCCAAAATTCATATGTAATTTCAAAATAAAACAGTAGTGCAGCAGATGGAAAATACAGCAGAGTTTTAAGGTATGAACTCTCAAATCCTCTTCCATGCCATAGTCAAACATTATCAATTGTCCTTTAACCTGATTGCTCGAAACTAGCTACTAGAAACTAGAAAAGCTGCATTATGGGAACAATTTTTGTGGACCTTACTGCAGCTTATGGCACAGTGCAACATAGGTAAAGTCTACCATACTACCCAAGATTACGATTTTACAAAAAACATCCAGACCCCTCTAGAAAACCAGTTTCTACCCTGTTTCCCTGAAAATAAGACATCCCCTGAAAATAAGACCCAGTAGAGGCTGTGAATTGCTAAACATAAGGCCTCCCCCAAAAGTAAGACCTAGCAAAGTTTTTGTTTGGAAGCATGCCTGCTGAACGGAACACCAGAGCATGCAGCTGTGATTCTTTTTAGCCCACCGCTGTTGTCCCCTACCTTCACTGTCCATTGCAGAGCAGCTGCATGCAGGACATGAAGACCGTCGGGATAGGTAAATGTACCAAAGATTGTTGTACATGGCAGTAACAAGAAATTCTTGATAGGATGCACAGTTTGTCTGGTTACGCTGGTTTGTGATGACAACTACTGTACAGTATAAAATAACTGTTCATCTTTTGTTCAACAATACATGTGAATTCTTCTTAATGGAAGATATCCCCTGAAAATAAGGCCTAGCACATCTTTGGGAGCAAAAATTAATATAAGACACTATCTTATTTTTGGGGATGCAGGGTATGTGGAGTTACAGGGCAGGAAATATATATGGAGGAGGCAAAAGAATGGTTTATCCCAAGACAGCGTTTACTAACAATCAGCCACAGCCACCACTCACAAAGAGCTTTCTATATGCTGATAACCTTGGCTAATAACACAAGCAAAAAGACTTTGAAACAATCAAAAAACAACTTACAAATGCCTTGAAGGATCTCTCCAGCTACTACAAAGATAACCACTTGAAGCCTAACCTGCCAAGACACAAGTGTGTGCTCTCCATCTACATAATCACATGTGTATATTGTAAACCGATCCGAGCCTTCGGGGAGTGGTGGTATATAAAATTGATTAATAAATAAATAAAATAAAAAATAATCATGAAGCCAACAGGAAATTGAAGGTTATCTGGAAAGGCCAAGAGCTTGAACACTGTTTCCACCCTAAATATCTAAGCATCATCTTAGACCGAACGCTAACATTTAGGAAATACTGTGCAAACAAGTACAAAATAGCTACACACAGTAACATTCTGCGGAAACTTACTAATTGTGCATGGGACGCAGACCCAAAATTAATAAGATCATTAGCCCTGGCACTATTTTACTCAACTGCTGAGTATGCCTGCCCCAATTGGCATAAATCTGCCCATGTGAGGCAGGTGAATAAAGTCTTAAACCTACACCTGTTAATAGACTCTATAAGTTAGCTGGCATTCCCCCCCCCCATGTGCAATGGGAAGTTGCTGCCAGTTACAAGAGAAATAAGGTTCAACACTGTGAAAGCCACCCACTATATGGCTACCAGCCTCCTCCCAGTAGACTTAAATCAAGGAAAAGTTTCATGAGAACCACCACTCCTCTAAATGTTCCTCCAGTAAAAGCAAAGAATATCCCTGTGGGCAGCAAAATCAAGCAATTCCAACTGGATGGCCCCCCATGAGGGTCTTCTTCCAGGGGCAAACTTGGAAGTCCCTGAACAGACTCAGAAGTGGAGTGGGCAGATCAAAAACAACCTGGAAAAATGGCACTCCTACAAGAATCCTCCACCTTGTGCAACTGTGGAGCAGAACAAGCAACTTAGCATCTCTATGCTTGCCCTCAATGCCCTGCCTCGTGCACAGAAGAAGAACTGTTTAAAGCTACGGACAGCATTGTTACTCGTTTTTGGTCTAAAACTATCTAGCAGCTTGTGATCACTTTATTTTATCCGTTTGAGACAAACTATTTTATGCAGTGCTCTTGACACGAAATACTAAAAGCTAGAAACTTCAAGATGTAATAAAAGTTGCATGATAATTTCTACTTAGGAAAGAAACACTCAAAACCAAGAGGGATGTTTTAGTATACCAAACATCACATGACACTCACCTGCCCCACTAAGAGACCAATGGCAAAAGGTTTTGAAGTGGTGATGAGATCCAAGAGATACTGCCCCACAGCTTCTTCAACAAAGCAGCTTCTTCCCATGATTGCTAGTATCTAAGAGCCCAGCAAAAACCATTAAACACAAGGAGAGAGAAAATGAAAAGTGCTTGGAATTAAAAGAGAAAGTATCCTAATAATGGTTTAGGGGGCTTTGAGTAGTTTTAGGCTGAATTGTTTCTAACAGGTGTTTACTTATTTTTTAATTGTATTTTAATTGTTTTAAGCATTGTAAGCAATTTAATTTTATTTTAAACCTGACTTTTGTGATTTTTTTGATAGTATTGTTTTTTGTGAGCTGCAGGGTAGAAATACACAGTATAATACAGGGTGAGGCAGTATAATCTCCTTTTTAAAAAACTTAATAAAACCCATTGTATGAATCAGATTTTTTTATAATGTAGGCGCATACCTAAAATTTTGTTTTACGTAGTTTTGAAGATTAAATTAGGTAGGTGACGTTCCCCATTCTCCATACACTGAGTAAATCAATTTCTGGCGTTTGTCATGACTCTTGCCAGCATAGCAGGTGTTATATTGGCCAGTTCTTCCTGGATGTTGGTCTTTAAATCTTGTAGGGTCCTTGGACGGCTCACATAAACACAACATTTCAAAAAACCCCATAGAAAAAAAATCACAAGGGGCCAAATCTGGAGAGCGGGTCGGCCACTCCAAATCCGCTCGAAAAGTAGGCCTCAACAGCAAAAGCACGTTCCTCACTGTTCCAACGCATGATGGCGACTGAACTGTGTCAGGACAAAACTTTATACTCCCGCCTCTTGAACGAGACCACTAACGCTCTGTTACGTCTTCAACCGACTGAATGGCGCGCTTTTTTAAAAAGGAAGTTATGCTGCCTCACCCTATATAACCATGATGATGACGGAACTGTCTTCCTTATTTAAAATGCTTGGAACCAGAGATGTTTTGGACTTCAGATTTGGGAATATTTGCATAATGAGATATCTGAGAGATGGCACCCAGCATGGAATTTTATTAGGGTTTCTTATAAATCTTGCAGACATAGCCTGAAAGTTGTTTTATACACAAGATTTTAAATAATATTGGTCATGAAACGCTTTACATACAGTGGCCTATTGGAAAACAAAGTGACACTGTCTCAAGCAACTTGGGTGAACAATTTTAGATTTGGGAGTATTTCAGGATTCCAGAATCCTGAAAAATTCCAAAAATTCTCCAAAACTTATAATTGTCCCTGCAGTATTTATATGAAAGGGATTCTCCTTCTTCACTGACATATAACATCCAGATTATGCGCTTTGATCTGGATTATAAGGCAATGTGGATTTATATGTTGTTGCTCATTCGTTCAGTCGTTTCCGATTCTTTGTGACCTCATGGACCAGCCCATGCCAGAGCTGCCTCTCGGCCATCACCACCCCCAGCTCCTTCAAGGATTATTAAATTATTAAATTATATTATTAAATTAAATCATTAAATTATTCACAATTAAAACTTGTGCGCCAGCTGCGCCCGTACCTTGGGAAGTCTGACTTGGCCATGGTAATCCACGCTCTGGTTACATCCCGCATAGATTACTGCAACGCGCTCTACGTGGGGTTGCCCTTGAAGACTGCCCGGAAGCTTCAGATGGTCCAGCGCTCGGCAGCCAGGTTGCTAACGGGAGCGGCACTCAGGGAGCATACCACTCCTCTGTTGAGCCAGCTCCACTGGCTGCCAATCTGCTACCGGGCACAATTCAAGGTGCTGGCGTTAGCCTATAAAGCCCTAAACGGTTCCGGCCCTACTTACCTCTCCGAACGCATCTCCACCTATGAACCGACTAGGACATTAAGATCGTCCGGGGAGGCCCTGCTCTCGGTCCCGCCTGCATCACAGGCGCGGTTGGCGGGGACGAGGGACAGGGCCTTCTCGGTGGTGGCCCCTCGGCTATGGAATGCCCTACCTGTAGACATCAGACAGGCCCCTTTGCTGCTGGCGTTTCGGAAGAAGGTTAAGACCTGGCTCTATGAACAAGCGTTTGGCTAAACAGTGCAACTGAATATAGGAGGACGGTAAAATTTGATCTCAGGAATGGCACAAGGATTACGAGAACGGATCTGATTTCATATTGAGGCGTTATGAATTGTTAATGATTGTTTGATTTTGTTGCTGTATATGATGTGTTTTAATTGTTTAGGATATTGTTGTGATAGTATTGATGTTATTGTGATAATTTCATTGTGTAAACCGCATTGAGTCGCCTTATCAGGCTGAAAAATGCGGTATAGAAATAAAGCAAATAAATAAATAAATAAAAGGTCAATCCAGTCACTTCAAGGATGCCATCCATCCATCTTGCCCTCTTCCTTTTTCCTTCCGTTTTCCCCAGCATCATTGTCTTCTCTAAGCTTTCCTTTCTTCTCATGATGTGGCCAAAGCACTTCATCTTGGCCTCTACTATTCTTCCCTCCAATGAGCAGTCAGGCTTTATTTCTTGAAGTATGGACTGGTTGGATCTTCTCACGGCCCAAGGCACTCTCAGAATTTTCCTCCAACACCACAGTCCAAAAGCATCTATCTTCCTTCGCTCAGCCTTCCCTATGATCCAGCTCTCACATTCATAGGTGACTACGGGGAATACCATTGCTTTAACTATGCAGAACTTCATTGCCAGTGTGATGTCTCTACTCTTCACTATTTTATTGAGATTGGTCACTGCTCTCCTCCAAAGAAGTAAGCATCTTCTGATTTCCTGGCATATTTCAATATGCGGATTTATATAATGCATTTCAAAGGAGATGTGGATTGTCTACTTTGACAATCAGGATTATATGGCAGTGTAGAAGGGGCTGATAAGAGTTTCTTATGTAAAATGCCAAAGTGACAGCTGAGGAGAGTCAACACCACCCAGGAAAAGATCTCCTTCTGTGCAGTTCCACTATCCCAGTTCGATCAATTCACAATCTGTTTTCCATTCTGAGATTTTGCCTGCGAAGGGTCCCCCTTCCCTTCCTTCCCGCCTATGAATGCAACCAAAGCGGCCTTCTCCTTCTCACCAAAGAGGGGTTTCCTTATTGCATGTATTCCACCCTGTCAAGGCAGCTTCCCCATCACCAAGGCACCAGCTGGCTCCCTCTTGCCGTACACACTGAGGTGGCCTAACCTCCGTCATCTCCTGGTCGCCCAAAACGGGGCGCACTGTGATGACGACACCACACGCGCAGTTTCTAAATCAGCCGCTCAAGTCAGCCCGCGCGCGGCTGCCATTGTGAGTGTGGCGGAAGTAGAGCGATCCCAATCAATTGCTCCTCTTTTTTTTTTAGTTCTCTTGTGGGATTTCCGCCTCGCGGGAAAGGAAAGCCGCCTAAAATTGCGAATGAAACCAAAACATTCCAAGTGAGAAACTTAGAAAAGGGAAAAGGCAGCTTGCCGCTCTCTCCTACCTCTTAGGTTTGAGGAGCGGCGGAGGCGGCGGCGTTCTGCGCACGCGCCAGTCCACCCGTGCGCATGCGCGCCGGTGCCTCCGCGCCCTGGCCTTCTCTGGAGCAGATCGCAGGCCAAGATGGCGGTGGTGTTGCAGCAGGTCCTGGAGCGGGCCGAGCTGGCCAAGCTGCCCAAGGTCGTGCAGGGGAAGCTGGAGCGCTTCCTGGCCGACCAGCAGAGCGAGATCGACGCGCTTCGCACCCGGCACGAGCGCTACAAGGTGGACAGCGGTGAGTGAGGCCTCGTAAGAGAGACCTTGTTTAGCCTGAAGAAGAGAAGGCTGAGAGGGGATATGATAGCCATGTATAAATATGTGAGAGGAAGCCACAGGGAGGAGGGAGCAAGCTTGTTTTCTGCTTCCCTGGAGACTAGGATGCGGAACAATGGCTTCAAACTACAAGAGAGGAGATTCCATCTGAACATGAGGAAGAACTTCCTGACCGTGAGAGCCGTTCAGCAGTGGAACTCTCTGCCCTGGAGTGTGGTGGAGGCTCCTTCTTTGGAAGCTTTTAAACAGAGGCTGGATGGCCATCTGTCAGGGGTGATTTGAATGCAATATTCCTGCTTCTTGGCAGGGGGTTGGACTGGATGGCCCATGAGGTCTCTTCCAACTCTTTGATTCTATGATTCTATGAAAGAAAGGGCCATTGGTTTCAAGCCCTGGAGTCAAAGGGGGACCGCGAGAACGCAGCTATAATTTAGTGGCCCTTTGTGTAGGCTGGGGTTTGGATACCGAGTTCCCTAGATCAGGCCCGTAGCCAGGATTTTGATTCGGGGGGTGCCGAGTTTGATTCGGAGGTGGGGGGTGGGTGAGGATCTACCCTAGCAACCCTTTTGTATCGTTATCCCAATACCCCCTTTGCATATGGGATAACATTGAGCATGGTGATCAGATCATGATATGAGTAAACCTAACAGAATCATAGAATCAAAGAGTTGGAAGAGACCTCATGGGCCATCCAGCCCAACCCCTTGCCAAGAAGGAGGAAAATTGCATTCAAAGCACCCCCATCTAGCCTCTGTTTCAAAGCCTCCAAAGAAGGAGCTTCCCACTCCTGGGCAGAGAGTTCCACTGCTGAACAGCTCTCACAGTCAGGAAGTTCTTCCTCATGTTCAGATGGAATCTCCTCTCTTGTAGTTTGAAGCCATTGTTCCGCGTCCTAGTCTCCAAGGAAGCAGAAAACAAGCTTGCTCCCTCCTCCCTGTGGCTTCCTCTCACATATTTATCCATGGCTATCATATCTCCTCTCAGCCTTCTCTTCTTCAGGCTAAACATGCCCAGTTCCCTAAGCCGCTCCTCATGGGGCTTGTTCTCCAGACCCTTGATCATTTTAGTCGCCCTCCTCTGGACACATTCCAGCTTGTCAATATCTCTCTTAATTGTGGTGCCCAGAATTGGACACAATATTCCAGGTGTGGTCTAACCAAAGCAGAATAGAGGGGTAGCATAACTTCCCACATCATGATATAAATAAACATAACATTTTAAATAATGTACCAGTAAGGCCTTCTCGCGGACCACCATGAGAATTGGGGGGGGGGGCTGAAGCCCCTCAAGCCCCCCCCCCCCCCCCCCCCCGGCTACATGCCTGCCCTGGATGGCCCCATTATAATATACTATGGCATTACTAGAAAGAGTGCCCCTTATATAAGACGGCAAAAGCAAGGTTCTGCTTTTTGGAATTTTGGGGGTTCACATTTTCAACCCGTGAGTGGTTGAATCTGTGAATACGGAAGACCCGCTGTATCTTGAAATATGTCACGCACCACCTAGAATCATAGAATCACTGAGTTGGAAGAGACCTAATGGGCCATCCACTCCAACCCCCTGCCAAGAAACAGGAAAGTCACATTCAAAGCACCCCGACAGATGGCCATCCAGCCTCTGTTTAAAAGCTTCCAAAGAAGGAGCCTCCACCACACTCCAGGGCAGAGAGTTCCACTGCTGAACGGCTCTCACAGTCAGGAAGTTCTTCTTAAGAGCCGTCGCAAACTAGCCTCCTGCGGGAGCAAACTGTGCGAGCACGTCCTTGACGTCATGAGACTGCGCCTCTCTCCCCGCCCCTTTCTCCGTGCCAGAGTGGTTTTTCCTTTGCTAGGGCAGCATTGCCAGCGTACTCTCTCAGTTGGCAGAATTCAACTGAGAGATACGCTGGCAATGCTGCCCTAGCAAAGGAAAAACCACTCTGGCACAGAGAAAGAGGCGGAGAAAGGGCGGAGAGAGAGGTGCAGTCTCATGACGTCATGGACGTGCTCGCACAGTTTGCTCCCGCAGGAGGCTAGTTTGCGACGGATCTTAGGATCTATGCCGGTTCATAGGGGAAAATGTGGTTGCGAAGGCTCGCTCCGAAGCCCCGCCTTTTTTCCCCCGAGGCTGCTCTCTCTCTTGCTAGTGTGCCTGTTTTCCCTTGCTAGGGAAGCGATGCGAGTGTACTCTCGCAGTTGGCAGAATTCAACTGTGAGCGTACGCTCGCATCCCTGCCCTCTGCAATGGAAAACAGGCACGCTAGCAAGAGAGAGAGCAGCCTCAGGGGAAAAAAAGGTGGGGCTTCGGAGCAAGCCCGAGCGCAAGCTTCCTGTAGTTTGCTGCGGCCCGAGCGTATGCTCGCAACGCTGCCCTAGCAAAAGGAAATAGGCGGAGAAAGAGGCGGAGCATCGCTCGTGTTGGCTTAGTTTGCTCTCGCAAAATCCTAGTTTGCTACGGCTCTAATGTTCAGGTGGAATCTCCTTTCCTCTAGTTTGAAGCCATTGTTCTGCGGCCTAGTCTCCAGGGCAGCAGACATCAAGCTTGCTCCCTCTTCCCTATGACTTCCCCTCACATATTTATAAATGGAGAAATTCTAGGAGAAATTCTACTGTCAGCTGGACACCGTCCTATCGGGGATACCTAAGGAGGACAAAATCATCCTCCTGGGGGACTTTAATGCAAGAGTTGGGCGAGACTTCGACCTGTGGCCAGGGACCATAGGAAAAGACGGGGTTGGAAACAGCAACTCAAATGGCATCCTGCTTCTCACCAAATGTGCGGAACACAACCTTGTCATCACCAACACGCTCTTCCGCCAGAAAAACAAGTTCAAGACATCATGGAAGCACCCCCGGTCAAAGCATTGGCACCTCTTAGACTATGTAATCACACGCGCCAGAGACCGCCGTGACGTGCTCCTCACAAGAGCCATGACAGGTGCTGACGACTGCTGGACTGACCACAGGCTAATTCGATCCTCGATGGCTATCAAGATCGCTCCCAAGCGCAGACTCCAAGGAAGGAAGGCAAGGCGCAAAATGAACACCCAAGCCCTTCAGGAGCCCTCCAGACGAGCCCATCTCCAAACAGCACTCAAGGACCATCTACCCACAGTACACCCCGAAAATGTCGAGGAACATTGGAACAAACTGAAGACCTCCATCATCCAAGCCTGCGAAGAAACTATTGGATACCAAGCCAAGAAACATCAAGACTGGTTTGATGAAAATGACATCGAGATCCAACAGCTAATTGACAAGAAAAGGAAAGCCTTCCAAACATGGCAGAGAGACATCAACTGTGCTGCTAAGAAAAAGATCTATGCCAGTGCAAAAGCTGAGGTCCAAAGAAGGACAAGAGAACTCAAGAACATCTGGTGGACAAAGAAGGCTGAAGAAATCCAACACCTGGCAGATACCCATAATGCTCAGGGATTTTTCAAAGCCACAAAGGTCATCTATGGACCAAGAAACCATGGCATACAGCCTCTACGCTCATCAGATGGAACCAAACTCCTGAAGGACCAAAACTCAATTGCACTACGTTGGAAAGAACACTACCAAAGCCTCCTGAACCGCAGCTCCAATGTGGCCGAAGAGGTTCTCTCACAAATCCCACAACAACAAACCAGGGATGAGCTTGCAGCACTGCCCAGTTTGGAAGAAGTCAGCAATGCCATCAGCCAACAGAAGAAAGCCAGCGGACCTGATGGGATCCCTGCTGAAATCTTTAAATAGGAAGGACCTGAGCTGACACACCAACTCCACCAGCTCATAGAAAAAGTGTGGTGACCGAAAAAATCCCAGCAGATTTCAAGGATGCCACCATCATCACCCTCTTCAAAAAAGGGGAAAGAACAGACTGCGGAAACTATCGAGGTATCTCCCTTCTAACCTCCGCTGGGAAAATCCTCGCAAGAATCCTTGCAAACCGACTTCTGCCCCTCTCAGAAGACACCCTCCCAGAATCCCAGAATGGCTTCCGCCCCTCCAGAGGAACAGTGGACATGATCTTCACTGCACGACAGCTCCAAGAAAAATGCAGGGAACAAAACCAACCTCTGTACATGGCATTCATCGACCTTGCAAAGGCATTCGACACAGTGAATCGCAGCGCTCTCTGGACCATCCTCCACAAAATCGGGTGCCCAAGCAAATTTGTGAACATCCTGCGGCTCCTCCATGATGACATGATGGCAACAGTCTTGGACAGCAATGGCTCCCAAAGTGACCCATTTAAGGTGGAATCAGGTGTCAAACAGGGATGTGTTATTGCCCCAACTTTATTTTCCATCTTCATCGCTATGATACTTCACCTTGTTGATGGGAAGCTTCCCACCGGAGTGAAAATAATCTATCGGACAGATGGCAAGCTATTCAACCTCAGCAGACTGAAAGCCAAAACCAAGGTTACAACAACATCTGTTATAGAACTCCAGTATGCTGATGACAATGTCGTCTGTGCGCATTCAGAAGAAGATCTACACGC